CCAAGCCCACGAGCAACTAGAGGTCTGGCTGCGAGCGTGGGGGAGGAACCCGAAGGCTCCCTCTTCCGAGCTTTTCCTTACTTCGTGGAAAGAGCCACGTGTGGCAGTGGCACCCACTCATGAGTTCGTGGGAGCGACAACCCAGGCGAAAGCAGGCGGAGGCAAACGCACCACCGTGAAGCCAGCACTCAGTGAAGTGGAGAGGCTGGTCCAGCCCGCATCCAAAAGAGGCGGGACTACTGGGACCCCCCGCCCCCGAGGAGGGAGCACAGCAGAGCTTGACCAGGTAGCCATGGAAGCTGTCTTGGCCAAACTGGCTGATTCAACTCGCAGGGTCTATGCATCAGGCTGGAAGCAATGGGCGTTGTACAATGCCAGCTCGGGCACTCACCCGTTCCTTGACGGAGAAGAGCGCTCCGCTCGGACTGAAGACGAGCAGAGGTTGATTCGGTTTGTAGTATTTCTACATCAAGTCATGGGAAGGTCCATAGGTGGGGTCAGACAAAGGTTGTCAGCCATTCGTTATGCACATGTTGCGGCAGGATACCCTGATCCACTGGTCGGGCGACCTCGGTTGTGGGCAGCGGTTGCGGGTCTACAACGTTGGGAAGGCGCCCCAAAACGAAAGCTCCCTGTTACCCCCAACATGTTGCGATGGTTGGTCCAGCACTTGAAAAGTAGCGGTTTATCAGTTGTCGATCAAACCATGATCAAAGGAGCCCTTCTTACAGGTTGGTTTTTCATGATGCGGGCCAGTGAACTCTTGCCCAGTATCAATGGAGAAGACCCCATGAATAGGGCGCTCCGCCCAGCTGATGTTGCTTTCTTTTCGCATGGGCAGCCTACCATAGGCGCCAAGGCCGATGAAGTCGTAGTGCAGATTAGATCTTCAAAAACCGATCAGTATGGTAGGGGCCAAACACGGTCACACCACCGCTCCGGTGGAGATCTCTGCCCTGTTGAAGCCTTAGCCGCGCTACAGGTCCTACAGCCCCATCGGTGGCGCAGCCCTGAAGACGAGGCGCCTTTGTTCCGCTATGAAGACGGGACGGGGCTTGACAGAGAGGGCATCACCCATTTCATCAAGATAGCTGCATTGGCCGCCGGGTTTCCTGGCGAACTCGCTGGTTCACACTCACTACGTAAGGGGGGAGCCACTGCATTTTTCGCAAGTACTGGGGACTTAGAAAGGCTTAAGAGGTACGGTGGTTGGTCATCCGATGCTGTCCATGCTTACCTTTATGAAGATCATACCGCTCAGAAAGGGATTTCAGAAGGGATGTTGGGTACCAGCCTCATTACACTCCCCAGCCAAAAAGACCCCGGGGTCCGTAGGCATCCAGCGGTTGTTCCAACTGAACCCCAAGAGTCCTATCCTGGTTTATTGGGGGTCCCTCAAGATGAGTTATTCCGTAACAGTCATGGAGGATCAAACCCTTTTAGCAGCCCAGTTGCCACGAAGCGAACATCCAGAGCTCCTCGAGGCTCAAACACCAATCGTGCATTTTCGTGGGCACCAGATCGTAAGGTATCGTTTGCAGTGAAGGCTGGTGCTATGGATGCTACTGATGAAAGTGCCGATGGGGGACGAAAGCCAGCAGCTCCAGATCGAGCCAATGCAGCGAACCTCTTTGTAGCAGCTCACCCAGGACTAGATCTTTATCAATTCCTGGGTGTTCCACCCGGTGCGACTCCAGCTCAGGTGCTCACCGCATATCGTCGCAGGTCCCGTGAGACTCATCCAGACCGCTTTGCAACTGCTGGGGAAGATGTCCAGAAAGCCAAAGGAGAGGAGTTTAAGATGTTGGGAATGGTCCGAGAGATCCTCTTGGATCCACTGATGGCCACTCAATACATGAGGTGGAGACAAGAGCAAATTGCTGCAAAGCATGGGCGAGGCCGTTCCCCAGTTGTTCCAGCTGGTGTCTATGCCAAGCAAGCTTCATCATTCCAACAAGCCAGATCAAGTTTTGATCGGTCCTCCACTCCTGCTGGCGCAGGAGCCAGCAGCTCGGGAGGAGCAGGCCGGGAGGTGCCTCGTAAACCGCCCCCCCTTCACAGGGATATCCTGGAGGAGGAGCGCAAGGAGGACCGCCCCCAGCCAAAGCCCCTCCTGCTCCAGCAGGGACCGCGCAAAAGCCAAGGAAACCTCCACCGCCCGCGAATCCGCCTACTCCGAGCTCAAGTGCGAAGCCAAGGAAAGCACCGCCACCAAGAAATGATGATGGGAGGCCCAGAGGACCTACCACCCCACCAATGCAAAAAATGGCACCCACGCAAGCTATTCCAAAGGGAGCACCGCCAACACCGGCCAAGCATTTCCCCAGGGCGACCCAACCATACACTGGAGGGGGCATGGTGGACGATTTGCGAGTTCCTCGCATCGCACTGGCAGATGCAGGGGTGAAACGATCAGACGCTCCGTCTGAGTCTTGGTGGTCAGAGACGTCATCCAGATATAGGGCCCCTTCGAGCTGGTTGGAGCCCGGGTCTGAGCCTTGGGTCGAAGATGACCTTCCACCGGAGAGCACCGTCCCAGACAACGAGGATGACTATGTGTATGTTGAGGTGGAAGCTGAAGACGATGACATGGACATCCTCCAAGACCACCAATTCGATGAAGAAGATTGGGACGAGCCGGCATGGGAAGAGCTCCCTGAGGAGGGGACCGGGTCTGAGCAAGTCTTCCAAACCTTCGATCAAGCCGTGATGCAAGGACTGCTCCAGTTCATGGATTTCGTGAACAGAGGACGGGCCAAGATGCTGATTGAAGGTGCTCCACCTATGACTTCTGTCCCAAAAGAGGTCCGGGAGGCATGTTTGGGAGACCATCCGGGGCTTCTAAAAATGCATCCCAGCGCAAAAGCATGGCTAATGGCAGGGACGAAAGGTGTCGAATTCAAGAAGCCACCACCTCCTAAGCCTCCCATGCTTTCGGCTCCCCCAAAGGTGGCTCCGCCGCCACTTCCAAAGCCAGCTCATCCAGAACAGGTACCTGAGCCAAAGGAGCCGCCGAAAGCCCTAGCCCCCAAACCAGTTCCTCCAGTGCTGATGCAGAAGACACCAGCACCAAAGAAGCCCCCTCCGCCACTGCCAGCAGCCAACTATGCCATGCCGGCAAGAGCTATGGGACTCGGTTCAGGCGCAACAGCATCATCTTCTGAGGGCGCTCCGCCCACTGAGGTGAACCACTTTGGGTTTGACGAGTCTGAAGTCGACTATGGTGATGACGATGATCGAACCCCTGAGGAGAAGGCAGAAGATGAGGAGCTGCTCGAGAAGACCAAGACGAAAGTGGAAGCTTTCCTGCGAGCACCCCCAGAGATGAGGAAGACGCTTCGCTCCCAAGCATGGAAGCGGTGCAAGAGCAAACTGGAGGAGCTCAACTTTGAGTTCAGCACTCGTCCACTGCCCGAAATGCACCCAGGCAAATTCGAGAAGGATCTCAAGGATGGCTTCACCTATGCGGAGGCCAAACAACGCCAAAAGGGCCGGCAACGGGCCGCCCGACATCAGCGAGCCTTGGCTGAAATGGAGGGTGCCTCCTTTGAGGATTTCCCGAAATCCTGGTCACATGGGTATTCCAAGCAAGTCCTGAAGCCGGGTTTCCTCGAAGAGAAGAACAAGGAGCGGGCCCGCCGAAAAGCTACAAAGGCCAACTATCGATCCGATAGATCACGCAGCACTCCACCACCTCGCCAGTCAGCTGCTCCAGCTGCTGCATCCAACCAGGCTGAAGCTGAAAGCACGGCCAACTGGGAAGCAGGAAGTCAATGGCACGACTGGCAAGCGAGACGCAGCAGTGAGTGGCAACGGCATCAACCAGATGTCACACAACGGAGAGATGCAAATGCCGCAGACGATGACGACTGGGGCAACTGGACCAGAGATGGGCAACGAGGCAGCAACCAAGATGGCTGGTCCAGCTATGACTATGGAAACCATCAGGATCGACAGTGGAACCAGTGAGACTTTGCCGTGGCAATTCTGCATTCATCCGTGTTCCATGGAGGCTTCAACGTACAGGTTGCCTACTGAGAGCCGGGGAATGTCTGAGGCAGCCTTGATTCTTTGTTTCACGGTCGATACCATGTGGGTTTTCTTTTGCATGTCCATTGTAGATTTTTATTTGGCGGATGCCCATGCCTATTTCGGGGGGATATGCCGCTGACAGAATGTCGGCTGGCAAGTCTCTCTGGGTGAGTGGTTTGTACAGAGACTGCACCACTCGTCACAGACAAAAATAGGAGTCGTGAGCGCTCCGCTTGTTTTGGTAGCATGTCTCTAGCTAACCATGTTTTACTATATATAAATCCAATAGTCTCCATCGTGCTGCAATATGTACCAACAGTTACTCTAATAATGGCCCCACACTATCCAAATTTATGGAATTTGTTATATCATATTTTCTTATATTGTATTGTATTATATTATATTAAGTGTTTTACATGTTATGACATTATTATACCCATAATTTACCTTGTTGGTGATTCCTCTTATTATTATTATTGTTATATCGTGATTATTGTGTATACATACATGCATCCATGCATGCATACATACATACATACATCCCTACATACATACCTACCTACCTACATACATACATACCTACATACCTACATACCTACATACCTACATACCTACATACCTACATACCTACATACATACCTACATACATACCTACATACCTACATACCTACATACATACCTACATACATACATACATACCTACATACATACATACATACCTACCTACATACATACATACATATATATATATATACACATATTTACATATATTTACATACATGCATGCATGCATGCATACATACATAGATACATACATACATACACACACATACACATACACATACACATATACATATAATTACATATACATGTACATGTACATACATGTGCATATACATATACATATGCATATACATATACATATATTTATATATCCATATGAATCCCCATTTCAAGAACAGTCACAGGCGCCTTTCCCCGACTATGACTGCCGTCACCTGGACGGCCACGGCCGCTTGTTGGACTGGGCGGCGTGGCGAACAGAGCTGCAGACTGCCCAGCACCTCGGCGTCGAGTGGCGCTGGGGATGTTCGGGATGTTCGGGATGGGTGATTAAAGCATCAAAAATGGTGAGTTTTTTGGGTGATCCTGACAGTAGGTTAGTGAGTCTAGAGAATAACCTCAGCTGTGGTTCGGTTTAGTGCTTCAATACATACCAGATGAGGCTCCCAGTTATGTGTATTGCTCTCTAAAGTTTAACAAAATGATACACACTGTAGTTATCTGCCCCATAAGCCCTAGTTAACCAAGTCCATTATTTCAGTTAACTTGCACGTGCAGTTCCGGTGAACTAAGTGGATCAAGTTTCACCATGTCTACAAGGGCTATATCCCAATTTACGGAGCTTCAAGGTGGTTGACCGTAGAAAAATGAGTACCGCACCAGCAAAGTAGCACCAGGTACTATGTGAGACTCTGGCTTGACAGCAGACCGCTGCATGGAAGGGGACAGGGTGGAAGCTGAGAGAGGTTGCCCCAAGGGAGGTTGATGCGCACGCTAGGTGGAACCCTGAGAGAGAAGCAGAAGAAGAAAAACAAGAAGAAGAAGAAGAAGAGACGAAGACAGAGCCGTAGATCAGAAGCAACATTGAGTAGCAAGCGCGTGCTTGAACAACCTATGGACAGCAGTAGACAGGTAACGGCACTACCAGTTTAGTATTTGGGGAAGAAGGAAGGAGTATAAGAGTAGAGGTAGGAGTAGTAGGAGTAATTAGTAGGAGTAGTAGGAGTAGTAGTAGTAGGAGTAGTAGGAGTAGTAGGAGTAGTGGTGGTAGTAGTAGTAGTAGCAGCAGTAGTAGTAGTAGGAGTAGTAGTAGCAGCAGCAAGCACGGGCTGGACTTGCTAAAGCAAAGGCTGCTGGCCTATTCAAATACATTGGCCACAGGCTTCATGGTGCCATTGCCAGAGTGGAAGAGGAGGCAATCAGCCATCCAATTGGCCACAAGAAAGCCTTTGAAGCAGAAGAACAAAACTCGCTTTGGGGCCCACCGCAAAACCGAAAATTAGACGGAGAAGGAGCTCAGCCAGCACCACTGCAACCAAGGTATGTTGGCAAAAAGGATGGCGCATTCATCTTGGCAAGACAACAGACCAAGTCCAAAGGTTGGGGTTGAAACATCATCCAAGAAGTTTGCAGCAGGTACTCGTACCCTGGAAAGTTCCCACAGCTAACTTGCACCAGTTTGGGGAGCAAGGGCGCGATCCAGCCATTACTAGCTTAGGCTTAGCTACTTATATAGCGGGGGAGGGCAGGGAGGGGGATGGACTCAATTCAGACGAAGCAAGAACAACAGGAACAACACATTCCAATCAGACACACCGGCAGGCCGGCGGATTGTTTAGTGGTAAACATTTCTTTCCTGGACCCCGACCTATGTTTAAATCGCCCAGGAGTTGGCTGGCCACATCCCAAGGAGTCACTTCGTCGTGATGGGCAGTTCTCGGGCAGGAGGTGGTGGGGTCATACCGGGGCCCAACGAAACGATAGATGGATTTAACCGAAAAAAAAACGTGTTTTAATGGGGTTAAAGTTGATGTATGTTAGCTAAGAGGGGTATAACTATAGTTTTTATGGGTTTATAAAGCAACATAGAGAACTGGGGGACCTCAACATGTATACCCTGAAGTAAATTTAAAAAAGATGTGGACAAACCATGAAAAACCGTGGTGGATGTTCCACATCTATGTCAGTTTGCGGGAGGATAACCAAGAAACCTAGGATCAACGGTGGGTTTTCCTCCAAAGTTTGGAATTTAAGCAGCAAAAAATTAAACGCGCTTATCAAACCCCGGGGAAGGGTATATTTTTACACTGAAAGAAGGGATTTAACGAACCAAGTTCTTTAGAATCAGCTGCAAATCAACAATGATGTGGATTTATGGTTGATTTGTTGTTGATTTTTGACTGGTTTCCGTAGCTACTGGCTACTGGTTTCCGTAGCTAAGTACAACAAGTGTTCGATTGACTGCTATACTTAGATCGGAGTTGGGAATGAGTGCAAAGCGTTGGGAAGGTGATGACAGTGATGTGACGCTGGTGACACTGCTGTGACACAGATGAGAAAGACCATAAAGCATTCCCAAAGTACCAATCCACAGATTATTAAAGAACATGCATAAATGTATATATATATATATCTACTTCCTTTATATACAGTCATGCACATATCAAAGTATTTTTTGTCTGACTGACTTTGTTGTATTCAAATAAACTAACAATATGACGGACTGAATCGTACTGACAGTACATAGCACTGTTGTTTTACTGTGACTGTGCAATACTCCATTTCAATATACATGGTCTATGTATACCTAGACACAAAAATACATTTCCAAACTGTGTCAATGGCTCTCCCAGAGTTTGTCAATCAGTGTTTCTCAAAAATGAACACCCCCGATCTGAGATGGTGACTAACAGATGATCTGGTTGGTGGTTTGGAACATGAATTTTATTTTCCACAAAAGTTGGGATGATGATCCAGTCTGACCAATATTTTTCAGGGGTAGTTATACCACCAATTAGTGATCAATTTGATCGTGATTTTCCCAGCTATTTTCCTCCATGTATCCGGGTTTTTCCATGGCTATGTTAAATAACCAGATGGTCCATTTGGTGATTTCTGTCCTCAAAGGTTGAGAAACACCCATGGCATCATGGCATGGTCGACTTGAGGTCCTGGCGAAGTTGTCACAACACCGAGACCGTGCCATGGAGGACATGGACGGATGGACGGTGGAGGATAGCGCGGGGGAGACTATGATGTGGTGCCCCATATTGCCATGTTGACCAGAGATCTACCCTCTGGTAATTTAACGTAGCTATTGAAAATGGCCATTTATAGTGGATTTACCCATTAGTCATGGTGATTTTCTATAGCTACGTTAGTTTACCAGAGGGTATCAGGAAGACTGGGGTGGTTGACGTCATCAGCATTTTCATTCAGGTCGGTTATTGATTCATTCAGCTCGATCAATGCCTGCGCAACTGTAGGCCAAATTGGCGGCATGGTATCCACAATGGGTAGCAGTTCACCGAAGACCAGACGTTACAGTCACCATCGTCGTCATCATCACCATCAGCATCAGCATCACAAGCACAAGGGCAAGCAGCATATGTGCTCTTCAAAATATGGGAAAAGCCAAAATGGCAATTAGCATATTTGATGAAAGGTACAATGCTTCATATTTCTCCGTTCTTTGTTTTTGACAATACAAGGGGTTCCGCGGCGCAGGAGTGTCCTTTGGGTTTGCTGATGGCAGATGTGTTGAGGATGTTGGTTTGCTTCGATCGCAGAGACTTGGAGCGTCGTGACACCCAACAGGGCTGGGAAATCGAGGTCGGCATGATGCCACTAAACATTTACTAAACCAACCATGACTGGGAACCAATCTGAATCATCCCATTCCGGTATAGCCAATTTCATAAACCTCGAACTCTGGGGATAGTATATTATAGTAGTTATCCCAGAATTATCCAATATTATGTCAATATTATCCTACATCCATCCATATGATCCTATTAATATCCGACTATATCACCAGCATCCCCACAGGGAGAAGCACCACGAAAATTCTTCTGGTTTCTGTTTCGAAAAAATGAACCAGAAATCCAGAAATCTATTGGTTATAAATAGCGAAAAAAAACTTTATAAACCAATCTTGTTGGTCATGGAATGGAGTTGTTCTTCATTTTTCTTTTTAAATGACCCGGAGAAGTTTGATTCACCAGTTGTTCAGTGTTAGCTACAGAAGATCATCGGAAGGACGTGGAGAATCGGAAGTCCCATCGGGGTTCCGATGTTCTAAATGTGCACCGTTGACATGGACCTGGTTGGTGGTTTGGAACATGAATTTTATTTTCCCATTGATAGATGGGATGTCATCCTTCCTATTGACGAACTCCATCATTTTTCAAGATGGTTATTGCACCACCCACCAGGGATATATCCACCATTTGTGGATCATATCTAGGTCAATCTTACATGGATACTTTAATCCTGTAGTCTTTTGGTATAAATGGGAATATCTACGTTCACCAGCTGCCAGAATTTGTCATTTTTTGCAGGGTATCTAAGATTGGCAATGTTACCCCCTGGTAAAGTAACATAGCTATTGAAAATGACCATAGAAATAGTGAGTTTTCCCAGCTACAAAATGGTGATTTTCCATAGTTATGTTAGTTTACCAGAGGGTAAACCTCCATTTTCCTATGGTTTTCCTATGGTTCTCCTATGATTTTCCAAAGCAGTGCTCAGGAGAGGATTGCGCCAACACCTTCGAGCCCCTGGTTCGGCCTCTCGGTTGTGCAAGGGGAGTGGCTCCCCTTACGACTGGGATCTACGGCGATCCCCAGGGAATCATCCGAAAAAAAGCCGCAGATTTCAGGTATTTTCAAGTTGGTGAAGTATTATCTGGTTGGTGGTTTGGAACATTTTTTTCCATATATATATAATAACAATAATAAGAATGAGAATAATAATAATAACAATAATAATAATATTTATATATATATTGGGAATAATCATCCCAACTGACGAACTCATATTTTTCAGAGGGGTAGGTCATCCACCAACCCGTTATGGTTCAGTCAGATCCTCCAAGCACTGAGTGGTAGGAGAAAAAAATCATCCTTTGCTGGCTGGGTGGCTGGGTGAATTCTTGCACGTTACCATGATACGACACTACAGCTACCCTCCGGTCATCAAACGCGGCAACTGGAAATTCCCAATATTCATGGAGGTTGTTTCTTTGATGATAGGTAAATCATCTTATATAAAAAGCGGATTTTCGATGGCCATGTTTGCTTACCGGAGGCTAACCTATTCAATGCATTCAGTCCTGCGTCCCCATCTGAATAGTTTGGAGATTGGAGGCAGCAGAAAATAGCCCTAGTTTCTTGGTGGATGTCGATTGGAACCGCTATTTCCTGGTCTGGTGAGAAACTATGCTGATTAGAACTAGTTTCTATCATAACTTTTTGGTGATTAGAACTATAGTTAGATTCTGGTAATGTCGACAGATTCCAACGGCCCCTTCAAGTGACATGAGACAGTCAAGATTCATTCTATACCCCCCTTCTTTAAGTGACAAGCAACCGGTCTTTTTGGAAAACTATGCTTCGGCTCATGAAGCTCAAAAGGGTAATTATTAGTCGTTACTTATTTTTTTGAAGGGTGATGCCCCAGGGAAAGTAAGGAAGCCTTACATCGCCTGTTGCTTCGTGTTTGTTCGCTGTCTCGTCCCAAATTATACCAGTCCTCCGGTTGGTCATTCGTGTTCCGGGTGAACCTTGGATGGCTAGTTGAATATTACCCGGTAAGGCAACAACTATCAGGTTGCGAACTGGAAAATCACCATTTTTTCAAATAGCTAGATCATCGAACTAAAGAAAGGCCATGTTCAATATTTGGTTGGTGTTTTGGAACATGTTTTTTCCGAATATATATATATATATTGGGAATAATCATCCCAAATGACTTTCATATTTTTCAGAGGGGTAGGTATACCATCAACCAGATATTGTAACCAATGACTGGAGGGTAATTAGATTATTTAAAGTCCCATGAAATCCCCATGATGGTTGGTGAAAACACCATTGAATTCCATATCAATTGCCATTTCCCACGGGGATATTCAATATATCAACATGGAATTCAATGGTGATTGCAACCATTTGCAAGCTGTATTCACATGGGATTCAATGGGATTCCAATATATTCCCATATATCCACGGGATGTTGATATTCAATATATCAACATCACTCCGCTACACAACCTGCCGTGCTGAGGCATGGTTTGGCCAAGTTTGGCTTGCGGGTCTTGATGGGAACCAACTGGCCGACGCTCGGGGAGATTTTTGTTCAACTTAGAGGATCAATCACCAGAGCCATGAACGATACCCTGGGTGATTCGGAAAACCATAGGAAAACCATAGGAAAACCATAGGAAAACCATAGGAAAACCATAGGAAAATGGAGGTTTACCCTCTGGTAAACTAACATAGCTATAAAAACCACAATTCTTTAAGGGTAAATCCACCATAAATGGCCATGTTCAATAGCTATGTTAGTTTGCCAGGGGGTGGGACTCAGGGACATGGGGATTATGATAACCCATAGCAGGGAAACCCATCAACCAACAGTAGGAAAGGGGTATGGCTTTCATGGCTGCCATGGATCGTAGAATCGTAGCAGTGGGTAACAAACATAAGCAAAGAAACCGGGAGCATGGGAATTCCTTAAAGCCATAAACAGTGGCCGTCCCGGATTTTCCCGGGCTTAGGGCCGAATCTTCTCAATGAGGTAGATCATCCAAATGGACAATGTTGGTGATCCACCAGGTGCAGGTCGTGGATCCGCAATGATCCGCATTGGCCACACCATCACAGGCTGCCCCTCCTTCTGGGCAACCGGGCAAAGGTCCGGGTGCCAAAGGAAAGGGGAAGACTGAGGCCGCCTCTACACAGGATTTGGAAAACCTGGCAATTGGCGCGTCGGAGAGCCTAGCCAAGTGCTTGGCCCTACTTCCGAAATGTAGCCCACAAGGGCTTTGCACAATTATCAGTACGGCACGTACATTGGTACTACCGGGAGGATTAAGTGCTCGAAAGGAGGTCCAGCAGAGTTTGGCAATTGAAAGGCCAAGTTCCAGCTCTGGACGTGTTGCGACTCCACGCGCTGCCACCGGTACAACGGCAAAGCAGAATAAGGAGCCGAAGAAGAATCGTTCTGCTCGTCGCTGGGCCGAACTGTCGGCCGACAAGAAGCGGGATTTGCAGGAAAAGAACCCAATTTTAGTGGAATTGAACGCATCGCAGAGCAGAGCGTATGCAAACTTGACGCAGGAACAGAAAACTGCCATGCGTGCCTTCCACTCCACGGAGGAATTGGAAGGGTCTGGCATCCCACAACATTGCATCCAATAAATGTGAAGGCGATCTTCAAAGAGGACTTACAGAACCCGGGCTGCTCCATCCAATTGTAAGTATAAATGATAGCCATGAGGAGAGAAAAAATGGTAGATTTACCTTTGTATCCAACGGAAAAATCCATGATGTACATCCCATGATATCATTGATAATATCTCATAATCCGAAACAATGATAGCAATTTTTACATTTGAATACCCATGATATCCCCATTGTTTTGAGTGGCCCTCCCTGTTCGCTTGCCATGCCCAGGATCTACCAAGCGTTGCACTCGGACGTTTGGGAGCGACAAAGTCACCGTGGAGTTTTCCAGGATTCAAGGGGATGATCAGCCTGGTCCTGGTCTGCCGAGTTGGTTCCATGGGACCTTCAATGATAAAAGGCCTGGTAAACGGACTAACAAAAAACGATGGGAAATCACCATTTTATAGCTGGGAAAATCTACTATAGATGGCTTTTATAGCTGGGAAAATCCACTATTTCTATGGCAATGTTCAATAGCTTTTTGTATGTTTACCAGAGGGTAGCAGGCTTGCTCATTGGAGGTGGGGAAGTGTTTCTCTTGGAATGACGACGGATACCCAATCCTTTCTTTCGAGATGCAGCTCGTCTCGTTTCCTGCACATTGCCCAAGTTCTTTGTAGGGTACAAGTTTGGGGATAGCCCAACTGCCAGAGATGGTGAAAATGATTTGAAACAAACCAGGAGATGGGAATGGGGATCCAATTTTTGACCGTCCCTGCTTTGCGGATTGCTGGAAGCTAATCTGTGGTCTGGATATGTCTGGATAGTGTTTAACCATAGATTGTTTTTTACTCAAAAGGCTTGAAGTGGCTTACTATTCAACCAAAACTTAGAGAAAGCACGGGAACCTTTTAGCCACCAAAAGGTAGCCTCGACAGCCTCCGGCATTTCTGGATTAACCCAGGTTGAAGAGACTCGTTTTCCATTGTTTTGAAAGGGGTACATGTCAGCCTATCCAGAAATTTTGTTTGGCAGAGTATTTGTTGCAGAACTATTTTTACTTGGTTCAATCACGCTGTTTGATGGTTTAGCCGCCATTAGCCTTTTCATCATCTTTTTTGTTTCTCAAATCACATTTTTCACCAATTTTAAGCACCATTTCTCGTTGGTCAATCCATCCAAGCTTGGCTGAATCACCATGTTTGCTAGTTAAATCACCATAACTCCCATTAGATCACCGTTCTTGTTGGTCAAACCACCATTTTCCCATGGTTGACCCCACGGCTGGTCAGCTGAACCACGTGATCGTCAGGATCCTCATCTGAGCTGCGTGGAGTCGCAGATCTTGGACTGGCCACGCTTCAAGCGGATCTTTGAGAAGGATGAGCCGCAGATGGGATGGGTGGTTTAAGGGCGATTTGTCGAAATCATGACCTTCTGGTGATTGAATCTTTAATGTGGATTTAATGGGATTAGTTGGTGATTTAAGCAGTAATGTTGATGAACGGATGATACCATGGTGAAAAATCAGGTGTTTAATGGTGGTTTTATGTCATATATATATCTCTCTCTCTCTTTCTCTCCAATGATGTATATGATGCGATATGATGTAATATACGGGTGTGTCTGAAAATGAGGTATATCCCTAAATGGCTTGTTTTCATAGGGATAATGAGGATAATCCATCGGAATTTGGGATACTCTATTCTCAGACAACTGATGGTGTTTTAATGAGATTTAGGGTGACTTAGCCAGCAAACTAGGCATTGAAAGTGGTGTTGTCATCACGAGCCTTGAAAGAAACGGCTGGCGTGCTGTCAGAAGTTTCACTGGACAGCAAAAACATGAATTTCACCAGCCAGATGTTGTTTTCAGAGGTTTTACCCTCTGGTAATTTAACATAGCTATTGAAAATCACCATTTTTTAAAGGGTAAATCAACTATAAATGGGCCATTTTCAATAGCTATGTTAGTTTACCAGAGGGTATCATGTTTTTTGAAGTTGATAAAATGTGGCGTTTACACCATAGGTTGGGAATATGGCAAATGGTCCGCTTTTTTCGTCAAACAAACGGTCGAGGATAATCCACAGAAATGAAGTGGAACTGCGCCCCCAAGCACTTAGGAAGTGGGCTATCGGCTATAGCCTGTAGCCCCTGATACTTGCGGTTGTCATTGGGGATTGTCCTATTTATGTGGTTATATCATGGTAACCACTTCCTGGGATGTGCTTTCAAGCTGTGTTTTGTGGCGTCAGAATAGTTGGTAAATAGGTGTTCCTCCGGCAGGTTATCATCCACTGTCCTACTTATATGTCAGTACATTTCCCCGAGTAAGGGTTCTCATTCATAATCTTGTAGGCTCAAATCATCTCAAACCCTCTTTTTCCCCCACCTGCCACGTGAGGGTCTCTAGATTTTAACAAAGGTGCCACTCTTCCTCCTCTTTTCCGCGTCTTCTCCTTTCTTGCCTTGTCCTCCTCGCCCTTAACCGAACACCATATCGCGAGCTCAGGATGCTGTGGAGAGTGGCTGGACCCGAACTCATGCCAGAGAGGATGCCAGACAGAAAAATGCAATACAGAATACCAAAATACACGTCAGAAAGATTGCAAGATATATGTCAGATAGAATGCTAGAATGATTGCCAGATAGAATGCCAGAAAGAATGTCAGAATATATGCCAGAAAGATCCAGAAAGTACGTCAAAATAGATTCCAGAAAGAATGTCAGAATATATGCCCGAAAGTATGTCAGAATAGATGCCAGAAAGTATGCCAGATAGAATGTCAGGGCATATGCCAGAAAGAATGCCAGAATATATTTATGGCGTATATACTTCCAGATGGCATGTCCGAAACTATGTCAGAATAGAATGGTGTGTCAGGGTGGGAATCACTCCAAGAAAGTAACTCAAAGATATCATATGTCATGTCCCCAAGCAATGATTCCAGTTCTGAGTCTTTAAAACCCCCATGAAATCCACAACCTTTTGATCCTCAGATTCGCCATCCGAGCCATCTGACCCAAGGATTGGTATCAACCCGCCGTGGACGTGGCCTATGGCCCCCAACTGGAAGAATTCTGGCGGGAGGCGGCTCTCGAGCGCCTGGGATGATGCCAAGAACCTCACTTCCAATGAGTAAAATGATGACTTCAGCAGCAAGCATGGTTAGTTGATGGTTAATGCTGGTGTGTAACTAATAGAACTAAGGTTTATGGTCGATATATTGAACTAGTTCATGGGGTTTTTGAACTAACTTGTAACTGGGGTGGAACCGCCTTGCAAGTTTGTATATGTGCAATGGTCATGTTTCCAAATGTTTGCATCCTTTGAAGTTTCTTGTAGTTGTGGTCTTCAGTACCCGCCACCTGCGCTTGGGACTGGAGATTGTGGACACCGACTCCGCACGCACCCCATCAAGAGTTGGATTGAACCACTAAAGATAAGGATTTAATGCGATAGTATCGCAGAGAGAATGGAATATAAACAACTATGATCAACAGCTGAATGACCATGTTTCGAAGCATGTTCATCAGTCCATTACTAGGGTTTACATGCCTGTTAGTTTTGGATTCCCATTACGGGATGGATGACCAGACTCCCTATATCATGTTTTTACCATGGCACATGTGGGTGTTGCTGTAAATAAAGGTACCCCCAAACCATTGCTTAAATAGGTTTTGGGTGTTCCCCCATTTTGGGACCCCCATTTATACTTCGTAGTGGTGAGATGGTGGTCTAGTTGACAGATCATTGGGGTCTGGATTGACGTTGGATCGGAAAAAGAGAAATTTTCCGTAGCTCAAGCTTTTCAGCTCTCCTGAGTTTTGACACGAACACCGCATTGAACTCTGCGCTTGTGGGATGCCACCGAAGTTCGCTGCAAAGGCGAAAGCGAATCATGGCACTTTGGCCGGACTGAGAGCAGCGATCACAGCTCCGCCTCCTGCAAAAGCTGGTGCTGTAGTGGCGAATCCCAAGGGCCTTGCGAAGGCGAAAGATGTACAAGCCGCCAATGACGGCTTTCTCCGTGTACTTGCTTCTGCGACGGACACAGGGGTCCTGGCCATGATCAACCTCCCTGCGGAAGTTGTGCCAGTCACTGATCTTATCTTTGGGCCATTCCGTGGTGCTGCCTGGAATACGCCTCCTGCTGCTGGCAGCTGCATGGGTAGAAACTAATCCTTTAGTGTTTTGGTATCAATGGAATTATCTACCAGCCAGCTACGAACTTATTCCCCAAACAGTGCGGCCAAAGTGAAGAGTTCTTACGCTAACTGTTAAGGCCCGGTGTTTTATTGAGGTGGTCTCGGAAGCGTCCGGCATTTTCCCTCTAAATATCCATGCAAAATGGCTCTCGCGACATGTCCATGTGCATTTCGACTGCACAGGCTCGCACAAACCGATGTCCCCGGATGTGTTTGTAGCCATTCTCCTGTCAATTTCCATACAAAATGGCTCTTGTGAAATGCCCATGTGCATTTCGACTGCGCAGGCTCGCACACAACTCTGGCCGCGGGATTCGCGTCCGGCACTTCTCCTCTAAATTTCCAGTCAAAATCGCTCTTTTGACATGTCCATGTGCATTTTGACTGCACAGGCTCGCAGAAAGTGTGGTTCCCGGTCTTGGGATCGGTCTTCCTCTTCAACATCATCCTTCTCGACTTTATCCTCTTCCTCCTCCTCCTCAACATCCATATCATCATCTTCCTCTCATCATCATCCTCATCATCATCACCATCATCATCATCACCATCATCATCACCATCATCATCATCATCACCATCATCATCATCACCATCATCACCATCACCGCCATCATCAACACCAGCATCATCATCAACATCAGTGTCAACACCAACATCGTCATCAACATTAAAATACATGATCTTTTTACTCCCCCCCCCACACTGTTTGGGGTCTCTTGCCGGGATATTCGTTTTGCAGGGTATCTACGACTGGCACTGAAGTGGATGGATGTGCATAAATAAATAAACAATAAACAAAATCTAATATATATATATATTTGTATTTATATTTATTATGTTTAAATATATATATATATTATATTATATATATTATATGTACGCCATATATTATTATCCATTTACTAACTAGTTAACTAACTCCATGGCCCATCTAAGTGGAAGGGGAGTTGGATTCGCATCTATCAGTGGGAAGAAACCACCTATCTGTGCCGCCCGAGGTGTCCCTTGGGTTTTGCCATGGCCAACCTCATTAAGGTTGGCACAATTGGGACCGAACAGTGTGAAAAAAAGGTGACGTTTAGAATGGTGGGTTTTATGATGTTTTATTTCATCTTATCTTTGCATTAAACCAGGCGTAACATGTTTTTTGCGTGTATATATAACACGCATGGAATTAGATATTCACATAGAGATGCAGTTCTCATTTTTTCGAGTGGGTAAATTTCACAACAGCCTCACGCCGCCTTCCGTCACTCTAGGATGGTTTCAAACGTCACTTCCTATGGCTGGTGGTTTTTCTGGTTTCCTATGCTCCCAAGTTGCGGGGTCGCCGTAAATCCCCAAAGAAAAGGATCTATCCAAGGCGAATTTCCCAGCCGTGGTGCTTTACGTTGAAGTCGAGGCCCCCGGTTGAGCTATAGATGAAAAAGTTCAACAAGAAACCTAGATGTGATAGTTGTAATGGAAAAACAATAGGTAATATCACATTTCATATATAACATGTCATATATCCTATACTGGTTGGTGGTTTGGAACATGAAATTTATTTTGCATAATATATGGGATAATCCTTCCCATTGACTTTCATATTTTTTAAGATGGTTAAAACCACCAACCAGATATAACATTTTATATGACACAATATAACATGATGTAACCAAAGTGGCCAACGATGATTCGCAGTGAACATAATGTACTTCGGATTTATATGTCTTATGGCCAATGGTTAGCCCCTGGGAAACACGGCCGCCAGGCGATGTTGTGCTCACACACAGCTTCTGGGCAGCATTTTTTCGCCAGGCATTAGGTTTATTAGTTGGGGTAACTATAAATCCATTTGGTTATATTAGTTTAAAATAAACCATGAGAATTCCAATTTCACTATGGTTTATGATACTTATAATTTGTGGCAGATTACTTTTCGATCTGGGAATTACTATAGGGAAAACAAAATTATGTCCAGTTCCGGTCGAAGAATGTTACCCACGAATCCGCGAATCCTTTGCTCAGCAAACCATACGTATTGACTGACCAATAGTCGTAGCCAGTTTCGGTACAGGAAAACCTCGGATAAGCCAATTCTTGTAGGTTATGTCAGTTACATCAATGGCCATGCAACAGGAATCGATTGATTGGAGGTACCGATTCCATATATGTTTGGCCTATTTCAAAGGCCTTAGTTTCAGGGAATATCCCAACAAAATATGGCCAGAAATATGGTACAGTAGCTCCATTTTAGGATCCTGAAATCCCATTGATATCAGTTACCCTCTGGTAAACGTTTACAAAAAACTATGGAACATCACCATCTAAAAAAGAACGGTAAATCAACTATTTCTATGAGTCATTTTCAAGATATGAGGGTACATCCTCACAAAATTTAGACTGAGTTTCTATGGTTCATTTACAGCTATTTTCAACTACTGTATTTCTATGGGTCAATTATTTTGACATAACCAGAGGGTACATCCTCATTGACTGAGTTCAGTCAGATGACCTGCCGGAACCCCTTAAACTCACTGGACCATTTTTATGCACATTCCGATGGCGAGTTCGGAATAAAAACCGCCATGAAACCCCGTGAGACCATATGGAACTATATAATCTGATTGGTGGTTTAGAACATGAATTTCATTTTCCATAATATATGGGTTGTCATCCTTCCCATTGACGAAGTCATATTTTTCAGATGGGTTGAAACCACCAACCAGCAATTATAGAACCGGAAAAAAGAAAACTAGACATAGCTGACCCCCATGTGCAAACATAGATGGATAGATAGATCGATAAATAGATAGATAGATATATAGATAGGTGGATAGATAGGTAGATTCGTACTTGTAGGTAGGCATGTAAACAGATACATCCGCAAAGACATGTTGCTCCAAGCCCCGAAGATTTCCTTTCACGGCTGATGGAAGTTTCATAGTAACCCCCACCAATTATGATCAAGCATCCATATGTCATTTGTCATGTTGCAATCCTCGTAAATCATACATAGGTTGATCATGAATCGCATGAGTCGTAAACATGGTAGTTATAACCCCCAATTCTTGATTTTGGCGCTGTTTGGTGGTTAAACTTCTATTGGTGGATCTGACTTGAAAATCCAATCTGTGTGATCTAATGTATACAGATTGCAATCTATCTGTGAACCATCAACTAACTTTCAAACTAATCTGATGACTGCATATAATTTATAAGAATATACAACTAATGTCCACTATAATTTTGGATATTTCCAGGAATGATCCTCCAGTTGTTCTCATATCCCATTCAATAGTAGATATCCCATTAAACAGTCATATTTCTATTAAGCCTCCATTAACAACCCATTCATGAATCACTATGAAAATTAAAAAAGTTCAATCCCCGTTACCCTCTGGTTATTTAACATAGCCATGGACAATGACCCATTTATAGATGGTTTACCTAGCTATAAAATGGTGATTTTCCATGGCTATGTTAAATAACCAGAGGATAATAAAGTTCCAATCGCATTTAAAATCAGTTAAATCCCCCATTAATCCATCCTAAAAAGACTTCCATTTTTTCCCAGTCACCCAAGGAGTCCATCTGCTTCCGCGCTCACGAGCAGATGCTGGGTGCCGTCCTGGAAGAAGTGCGGCTGCCGGATGTGGCCCAAAGCGGATGGCCCATCCTTCGCTTGTTGGGACATGTAGCGCGGGTGGTGAGGCGTGAGGCGTTCCTGGTGGGACAAGACTTTTCTGGTGATTTATAGCGATTTATGGTGATTCATACAAGGTGGTGCCCCCCCAGTGATGTTAGTTGGTTTATCATCCCATTAACTAGTTCGATATATCTTCCATAAGTCCTAGTGAAATTAGAGTTATGTTCACCAACTTAGCTATCTAACGGGGGCACCACATTGTAGTGATAATATATGGTGATTTCTGTTGATTTCTGATGATTTCGCGAGCAAAAATGTCATCAAATTTCAGTTGAAGCCTGTGAATCCACCAAAATTTCTAGTGGTTAGACGAAACCTCGGTTTTGATTTTCTTTTGGACTTAGAGTGGCTGAAACCAGGGAAATGTGGTGATTTTTGGATGTTAACATATGTTAAATGTATGGAAATGTGGTGATTTTTTGATGTTAACATATGTTAATTAACCCAAAATTCTGAACAAAACCGTAGTTGATGATTGGGGATTCAATTACAAATGATATCATAGGGAATTCTAACCACTAAAAATGCAGATATCACTTAGAAATTATGGTTACTAAATGATGGGAGTCATATGGGTACAAGGTGGCGCCCGAGTGATGTGTGTTTAATAAACCCATCCAACTATAAGATCTGTCTATCAGAAATGTGTGTTTGCCTAGTAGTAAACCAATTGAGCCAAGTATGTGGCACCACCCTGTACTATGAATGTGGAAAATCAGGGAAAAACATGGAGATGCAAGTGACACAAACTTCAGACATGTCTAATCATGCAATATGCAACAATCAAAAAAAGTGTGCATGTTTGATGGAATATACCCTCCTGCAGTCAAACATGGCAATGGAAAATCCATTATATATAGATGTTTGTTTCAAACATGTTTTATTTTCCATAATATATCGGTTGTCATCCTTCCCATTGACGAACTCATATTTTTCAAGATGGCTAAAGCCACCAACCAGTATAGATGTTTGTTTCCAGCTATTAATCTTCATTTAGGTCAGATTCTCCAGCCACGTTGACCAATTTTGGTCATCAGATTTGTCAGGTGGTTTGACCGAGACAAAAATCTTGGATAAAATGGGCAGTTTTGTGGCGGTGTCACCTGCCAGGTGGACATAAAATATGAGTTGACTGGATTTACTGGCACTTTTTTTTGACTGGGTAGTTTGTGCCACTAGTCCTTTGCCGCTTTTGGCAATGGAAAAGAAATCCAGCAGCGTTTTTTTCGTGGACTGAGATTCACCATGATATGGACGTCGATACATCCGATATCAAATAATAACCCAAGGTGAATGATGAAAACTGCCAGGTAATGATAGATGTTCCGAATGAGATGTGTATCATGAAAAATGCTGAAATGATGTAAACTGCAAGTTTCTCATGGCTAGTAAAAGGTGGATTGAAACACCAAATTCATGGGGATATACTACAAAAAGAACGCTCGGGTGACTTAATTCTAAGATAGTCATGAATATGGGGTTTAACCGCCAGCTTAGACATCCACTTTTTCGGAGAAAAATATGGTACTGAGGTGTCTATCAAGCGGTAATGAAACTCATCGTAATCTTGGAAGCCAACTGGATACCTAGTTGCTCACGCCGTGACGGGTGGCCTGTGCGTTTTGGCACATTTTGCATTTTGTATGTATATATATATGGGGTGGGGTGGGGTGGGGTGGGATATTAACGTCCTCACGATCACGTCCTTGATAATATGGTGGCAACGCATGTTCCACCAACTAGGACGACCTTGATGATGCAACATGATGCTATGTTGACAGTACGTTGGGTTGGGGTGGGGTGGGGTGGGATATTAACGTCCTCACGATCACGTCCTTGATACTACGGTGTCAACGCATGTTCCACCAACTGGGACGACCTTGATGATGCACATGATGCTGCGTTGACAGTACGTTGGGGTGGGGTGGGGTGGAGTGGGAGTGGGATATCAACGTCCTCACGACGTACGTCCTTGATACTACGTTGTCAACGCATGTTCCACCAACTGGGATGACCTTGATGGTGCGACATGGTGCGACATGGTGCTTGTTTTTTCGTGCATGCAGCCAGCAGCAGTTCTGCAAATTAAGAATGTGATCTTGTGGCATTATAGTTGTTTTCTTACAAAGGTTTGCCTAGGCAGGGTTTGTATAATTGATAATGTCAAAGGGAAAAAAATGAGGAATGTAGTAAAGTAAACTAGAAGATGGCATTTATTTGAGGACTAGCAGGGGGGTAGAGATGGCCTGGCGACCCTTAATATAAGTTTTGAAAAAATGGATCCCAAAGCAATTGAATATCAAAAAAAGGCCCAAAGGACATGGCGTAGTCAATCCTCACCTGAAGGAGAAGACGTTTCAATGGTTCTGGCGTCGCAATCTGAATGTGAACGACAAGTTCGCACCGACGCAAATGTGCCAGGAGCTTGGAAAGCTTTGCAAGTGGCGTGCTTGAGTGTGGAAAATGGCGCTGACGCCGCCGCCCACAGGCCACCGGCCACGGCGTGACCTAGTTTAGTGTAGATGAATCTTGTGCTACAACTGGCGCTAGATGCTAAACCAACTAAACACGGTCATTCTATGCAGGGTATCTGAGGGTGTCCATATAATGGCTGGTGTCAAGCAACTGGCGAACAAACATCTCCTCCTTTCCTGGTGGCCTTTTGTGGCGTGCTGTATTCAACCCAGCAGTGAACGTGGCCAGAACAATACGACAAGAGCGATCCTCAGCAAATCGCTGAAGTGGCAGTACGGCGCTGCCAGTCGCTGCCAAACCATCATCAACCCAGAGCTGGGTGCGCTGAAAGCAAGAAACAGGATTGAAGACAGAGGTGAGAAACACCACAAAACCGGCGAAACTGCTCATAAAAAAACGGAAGCGCATTTGTAAAGGCAGCGAAACAACTTAGCCGCGCTGACTTGACCATGTTGTTCAACGTGAGACGAAGTACCAGAGGGCAGCAAATGGACTGAATGGTGATCGACATTGATCGGTTTGAATTTTCGGTGTATAAAACTCACCGGGCAATCTAAATCTCGTGATAGCTATGTGATGCTATGTGGGTTTCATGGGGTCATGAATCAATCTGAGTCACTGCCAAGAAGAAACCCGCATGTGCTATGCAAAAAGAAAGATTAATATCAATGGACTCACCAATGATGGCCGTTTACCCAAGATGGTGGTTGCGCTGCACATCTTCCGATTAGGTCTCTCATCCAAAAATGTGAGTCATCATTGCTTGGCCCATCCAAATGAAAACTTCATGGTTTAAGACTTGGAAGACTTGCATTATATGCTTCAAGTCCCCTCAAGCAACTTCCCGACTTAGGAAGCTGGTATGTGGATATAATATACATATATTTACAGTATTTATATATATAACACATCCAGTGCCATGTTTGCTTATACCCATTAATAGTATCACCACCCCATTTCTGCAACCCCAAGTGCCGGTTTATGTGTATATCTATATCTATATCTGTATCTATATCTATATCTATATCGTAAATCACATATAAATCTCATGTTTGGTGGTTAAATCACTTTTCTTGGCGGTTTTATGATGTTTTACGGTTATCTGTGTCAATACCTCCTTTAATTTTCTATTACATGTCCCATTGGATTTTCCGATATGTTTGATGGCAAATTCCCCAGTCAGGGGTAACCCCAACGGAACTCCCAAGCATGTCGTCATCAAATCACCCCCCAGTCATATATGATGAATTAACCCAGTGTTTTCCTGTTGAATTCTCTATTTCCCATCTACGTTTGCTTACCCAGGTTTCACTCTCCCCGTATTCCCACGTCCCCATCGTTTTTTGAAATTAATCTCCTTAATTAATTGGGGTAATTCTTCATACTTGGGTTAAAGTTAACGTGGGATAGAAAGGAAACGTGGTCTTTTTAATTGTATCCAATAACCAACCATTTAGTGGTTTCCTGAAATAGGGGTACCCCCAGTTCATATCCATTTTGATGGATTTTCCATTATAAAACAACAAAATGTTCATGACGATGGAAACCACCACTTGACCATCAAAGCTCGCCGCAGGCGCCATGGTTTCCATCTTGACTTTCTTCCAGAGGAACTGCTTGGAGGAACTCCAACAGCGGCCTCGCAGAGCATGTCACGTGGCAAAAAACGCCGTTGGGTGTTGCCGGTGATGGGGTTGGCCCCGTTGAAAACGATGGTTCCTAAGAAACACGAGAAAATTGGTGATTTAACCATGAAAAATATGATTTAATGGGATATTCAAGCCTGCTTGGGGGTATAGCTGGGGCTAGTTTTGGTTATCACCATGGCAATAACTGCCATAAGTTCAGATATTTTTGGCCAACAAAACATCCCTCTTTAGATCATCCCAAGTAATTTGGGGTAGACTTTGAATTGGGGATGTGTCACTATTGGTTTTTCTAATTGCTGGAAAGATGTATTGTTTGTGGAAAATACGATCTTAGTGCAATAATTAATTTTGGGGATGTCTGGAAAGATTTGCCCAAGAAAGATGGTTGTATAAAGCCAACAAGATACTGGGAAATGGATTCTTATTTTTCTTTTGTATCCCAAACCACCAAAACTGAGCCTTTACACAACTAAAACGATGATGGCACCGATAAAGATCGTGATTCATCACAGACACCTTCCTAGTGGTCCTGGAGAGTCGGGATGAATATCTCACAGCTGCGGCGGGATAACCATCCAGCATCATCCAACAGTTGTTTTGGTGTGAAAACTGGTTGGTGGTTTGGAACATGTTTTATGACTTTCCATATGGGAATATATAATCATCCCAACTGACTTTCATATTTTTTGGAAAGGTTGAAACCACCAACCAGATAAACTGGACATCCAGCTATACTCACAAGAGTGCCTCATTTCCGAGTGGTAGTCGCCCACGTACGATGAAAAATTGCCATGTATAACTAGTGGGTGGACACAGCATTTTGCTGATTCCTTCGATGGCTTTCCAGAAGGATAAATGTCCGGATTATAAATAGTGGAATTTTAATATGTTCCCCTAAACCAAGTTTAGTACTATTCTCTTAAATCCACTTTTTGTGGGATTCAAGTGTTCAAATAGAAAGGACCTCACAGGCTGACCAAGCCGCTTTTAATAGTTTAGATATGGGAGATGTATCCCAAAATGGCCCAAGTTATACTGGTTGGTGGTTTGGAACATGAATTTTTATTTTCCATTTCATATATGGGTTGTCATCCTTCCCATTGACGAACTCATATTTTCGAGATGGTTGAAACCACCCTCTATCCTCCGGCAATTGAACATAGCTATGGTTAAGCCATGGCCGTCGTTGGGAGCCACAGCTGAGGCAAGATCTACTCGAAACCTGGCATCTGGCCCAAGTCGAATGTTCCCATTTTGAAAACGGCTGTGTTTATATAGTCAATTGGAGGTACCTACCATATACAAGGCCTATTTCTAAGGCCTTAGTTTCATGGAATATCCCAACAAAATATGGCCAGAAATATGGTACAGTAGCTCCATTTTAGGATCCTGAAATTCCCATCTGGTTGGTGGTTTGGGACATGTTTTATTTTTCCATATATTATATTTGGAATGTCATCATCCCAACTGACTGACTCGTATTTTCAGATGGGTAAGTATACCACCAACCAGGGTGATTCTGAATAGCTTCCCGGAAATCCACCTGTGGAATCCATGACGGGAATATCTTTAGTAGTTACAGTGTGGTGCCCCCAAGATAGCTAAGTTGGTGAACATAACTCTAATAACTAGGACTTATGGTAGATATATCTATAGTTAATGGGATTATAAACCGACTTATAACTGGGGGAGGCACCACCTTGTACCAAGTTTTGGGTCCTTGAATTGGATCATCGATTTTGGGGCCCGATGAAGGTTAAATATTCCAAGTATCAACTGCACGGATAAATCCATTTGCCCGGCAAGATTGCATTACTCAATTGCGATAAAAACTTGGGTATGGGATGCTATGGGTCAAAATTGGGTACCCCAATAATTGGATGTAGGACAGACAATTATGTGATTTTTTGAGCCAATGTCAAACCCCATATCCCCATTGTATTCAGACATAACTGGTAAATGGATGTTCATCCACCAAAATATGGTACCCATTGGCAATGTAAGATAGCAATGGACAATGGCCCATTTAGTTCGATGATTTACCACACAAAAAATGCATGTGTTCGATGTTAAATTACCAGAGTGCATACAAGGTGAGGTCCCCTTATGCACCCCTAGATAGCTAAGTTGACTCATAACTTGGTTAACTAGGGTTGATAGCGGATACCATCATTCATTGGTTAATGTTGGTGCAAATAACTCCAGTAATAACCATGGTTTATGGTAGATATATCTATACGTACTATGGTGTATAAACCAGCTTCCAGCAGGGGGGGTATCACCTTGTAGGTTTTGACACATTTCAGCAAAGCCAACCTTCAAGGACTGCTTGCCGAAGCTAACTCTCGCAGCCGAACGTACTGCAGCACGCTGGAACGGCCTGCGCTTGGTCTATGCGACCATGGCCTATGGGACACGTTGCGCGGTGTGGCAACAGGTGGCCAGTTACAACCTGGTTGGTGGTTTCAAACATTTTTTATTTTCCATTTATTATATGGGATGTCATCCTTCCCATTGAGTAACTCATATTTTTCAAGATGGTTGAAACCACCAATTAGATAAGTCCATAATATATGGGATAATCCTTCCCATTGAGTTTCATACTTTTCAAGATGATAAGATGGTTATTGCACCACCAACCAGGAACAATAGGAGTGGGGAAATCCCCAAACGGCCCTTTCTGGGAGCTTTCTGGGAGAATCATCGAGCTGCTGGGTAAATGTGAACCATGCTTGATGACGACGGCGTCGTGGTGTTCGTGGATAAAGCCAGGTGACTGCTACTCCCACGAATCGTAAGTGGGTTAGTTCACCCCAGTTTTTTGAGTGGATTAAGCCTACTTATCCCATGTATAACTGGGGTTGTAACCCACTTACGATTCGTGGGATGAGCCATCAAGAAGGTGACTACCCCCACCCAGTTGGATAACCACTATCAATGGATTTGTTTTCCAGGGAAAAATTTCACCGGAAACGATGGTTTTTACCATTCAATATGGGGTTTTCCTCTAAATGTTCCCCTAAACCAATCCATTGACACTATCATTATAGCTAAGTTGGTAACCAATAACACTATCATTAAAGCCAGGTGCATAATGATAGTGGTAGTTCCTAAGTTGGATAACCACTATGAAATTATAGCTATGCCCATTTTTTGCTAAAAGTGGAACAGCGCATCCATCGTTAGAATTTTTATACAATGGATGTTCCAACAAGAATTGCCATATTTTCCCAGATGAATCAGATGAATCCATTATAAATGGCTCATTTTCCCTCCATTTTTTCCTGCTTAACTCACCATGTTTGCTGGCTAAATCCCCATGTGCCTATCTTTTCTGAGACATATGTAATTCTAGTTGGTGGTTTGGAACATTTTTTATTTTCCCATATATTGGGAATAATCATCCCAACTGACTAATATTTTTCGGAGGGGTTGAAACCACCAACCAGAATCAGTGTGAACCGAGTTTCAGCCTTACTTTCATAAATCAACGATCACAATGGAAGTCGAACTATGTGACAGTAGACCATATCCACATAAATTATCATAAATCCACCTTCATTAAATCCATCATCTATGGTGGGAAAGTCACTACCATTCACTAAGCTACAAGCCACCTCATGATATGATAACCGATGAGTGATTGGAATGGTATTTTTTTTGGTTATAACAAACATTACCATTACCATACAACTCCCATTAGCATTGTTCCAACACTCAATCCATTATTTCAATACCCCGAACGTGTTGTAACCATCAAACATGTCTACTGCTGATTGGCCATATGATGTTGTCAACTACCTGGCTTATGGGGGGTTATTGGTGTTTATTCTAGCCAATAGTGGATCACTCCAATGATTATCAACTTCCCCATTATATACCAGTTGGTTGTATATGTCATTATGTTCCCATCATTTTCCCGTTATCTCCCAACAGATATGGCCCCAACAGATATGGCCAATTCCCATAGACATCCCATGAATACCCCTCCAAAATGATTCACCTTGAGGTAAGGGGATTGGAATGGTACTGATTATATTCTATTGGGATTATAACGATCATTACCATATAACATCCAAGTAGCATTATTGCAACATTCAACCCACTAAATGTCCATTATACTCCCCATTCTTGCTGGTGAATTCCCATTGAATCCCATTAAACCACCATTAATTGCCCCTATATCCCCATGAAAAAATCCATTGAGGTTTACTATCATGTTACCTGAGATGAATTCTATACATATCCCAGTCATCGCAAGATATAATGGAGAGTAAATCCCATGAAAATTATGACGACCTCACTGTCCGAACCCTGGTTCATCATGGTTTAGATATAGGGAAATGATCCCCAAATGGCCCAACAAAATTCAGGTTAGTGAAATATTGTAATTTACCCAGATATTATGATATATATTTCATCACCAGTTGGTTTTATGTTCCCATTAGGAATCCCCAGCATATTCCCGCGATATTCTCTTGAAATATCCCAATAGATCCAAGGTCAATTCCAAGGTCGATATCCCATGAGTATCCCATGAACTAATGTATCCCCATTAGATTCCTAGGGTGACTATTATTGCCAAAATTACCATACGTATATCTGACTGGTGGTTTGGAACATGTTTGATTTTCCCCAATAGTTGAGATGATGATCCAATCTGACTTTCATATTTTTCAGGGGGGTTGAAACCACCAATTAGATATTGATGGATAGAAAATCCCACCACCTGAGGTTTCAGCCTTTACCTCAGTCGCTTCCTGAGCCGCGCCGTCGCCTTGTCGTTGGACGTCGTGGCATTCTGCCTGGACGCTGCAGCCTACGAGGCCTGCCGCATGGTGGATGGCCATTGCGTACGGGGCACACCATCCATCCTCAACAAGCGCCTTGGATGCATTGACGTGGCCTGGGGAGGTGAAAATATGGTGCTCCCAAGATGGCTAAGTTGGTGAACATAACTCTAATCTCACTAAGACTTATGGTAGATATATCGAACTAGTTAATGGGATTATAAACCAACAAACATCACTGGGGGGGGCACCACCTTGTGAAAATATGGGATGTCCATCTGCTATTGCTAGATATGTATCCCATATGCGCGAATTCAAAACGATTCGCCTATGACAGGCCACCTGAGCTAGTTGCAAATGACTTCGAAAAACCACCTGTACGTATAAATCTAAAAGAGCTCTGGTTGGTGGTTTCAAACATGAATTTTATTTTCCATATATGGGATGTCATCCTTCCATTGACGAACTCCATCATTTTTTCAAGATATTTATTCCCGACAGTTCCGCAGTTTTTCGTCTATCCGAGGCCTTGACATTCCAGTGGTAGTCCCCGCATACCTTGAGATTTCATCATATGCCCCCAACATGTTCTCAACGTTTTCCCCAAGATTCTTACTGACCGCAATGGACGCAGTTTTTCTCGCTATCAACAGATTCAATACAAGTATATATATACTGGGATTTTCATTGGATTGAACGCCTTTCAAACGGCTTCAAGATATCTCTTTAGTTTCCCTTAGTCATAGCTGGGAGGAGAGCCCAATACAGATCTCCCATTGCAGGATTATCCTGGTACAGGCTGGGCCAATAGCTAGCTGTTGCCTTGGAGTTGTCACATGTTTTTTTCTCAATCCGCAAAATTTCTGATGTTTACATCCACTTTGCCAAGTATTCTTTTTGTGGGGATTGGGCTCGCACCAAACATCAAGCATCACAATTAATACAGATTTATATTTGGCTGGTTACATGCAGGTATTTGGTTCCTTCAACCCGTTTCTCAACTGTTGGCCATCCCAGGTTCACTTTGCCATTGGTGTTGTTGCACCAGAACCATGGCCAAAGACATTCCTTGCCTCAGCAACAGGATCTGCCATGAAATATCCCATTAACCAACCATGGCTTCCGGTTACATCATCCTCTATCGGGGATGGTGTATTATTGGCTGTTCCACATTATTCAACTTTTGGTGTTTGGGAAACCTAGTTTTGATGGCTTTAGTCAAATGGTCAGTACGGTCATCCCGATGACTCTGTTTGGGCAAAGAATTTCCTGATATCTTGAGACTTCATGTCTTTCATCACTAGTAATAGTCATCCCAGCAACCCCCAGCAACCCATCCATTCCGTACGTTTAGCACCAGTCTGTGATTTTCTGGTCATAGCACATATTCCAAGACTTGGCAGCGTCCCCTAGCTTCAGTAATACACCAGCAATGGAGCCTGTTGCCAAACCGCTGTTGACATATGTTCACATCACCATGATGCCATGGTTGGTGCGACGCCAGCATGTTGCTGTTTTGAAATCATCAAATCTACCCTCTGGTTATGACTAACATAGCTATGGAAGCCATGGCCCATTGAAACAGATGATTTTCCCAGCTATAAACCTCCATGTTATAAAGGATTTTCCATGGCGAACTGTTAAATAACCAGATGGTATATCATATATATATATATCTTTTTCTCCAGTTTGCAAATCAAGATTCCCTGGAAATTCTTCATCAAGATTCCAATTTTATGATTTTCGAATGAACCCTTGGTGTTTTCGGTTTTTTCGACCTGGAACAGTCGTCATGATCGACGTGCCTTAGGAACTTCGATGTCTTTTGGTTGGACCTGGACGTTTTCCTCTTCCAATCGCCCACCCGTGCGGTGGCACACCACTTCCGTCACCAGCCCACGGCGGAGCTGTTGGTCTCTGGATCCTTCGCCGTGACGGGGTCGCAGTATGCCATCGCCATGGCCAATGCTTAAAAAATGGTGAAGTCGAATTGAGGGAATCCATGGGTGCATGATATTTAGATGTTACCCTCTGGTTATTTGTTACATAGCCATGGTATAGATGGCCCATAGAAATAGATGGTTTACCTAGCTATATAGCATGGTGGATCTTTCCATGGCGAACTGTTAGTCATAACCAGATTCGTTACATGTTTGATCATGTTTGATCATGTTTCTGAAGAGTGAATTGATTTACCATCTGGTAAACGTTTACATAACTATGGAAAGATCCACCATTTTATAGCTGGGAAAATCCACTATTTCAACTGGGCCATGGCTTCAATAGCTATGTAACAGTCATTACCAGAAGATACATCCATTAATATCCCAGTATTCTCCCATCATTATCGCAAATCATCCCTATTAAACTGGAGGGTACTGTTTGGTGTGTAACTTTCAGTTCTTCTTTTCCTCGGACCTGGGATGATGATCCACATGATCCTATTTGCACCAGTTGGTTCATCATGGTTTTTATAGGGAAGACATCCTCAAATTGCCACAAGTTTCAGGTCAGTGAGTTATTATATAATTATACTGGTTGGTGGTGACTGGAACCATGGAATTTGATTAGACTTTCTTCCATATATTGGGAATGTCATCATCCCAACTGACGAACTCAGTTATAATTTACATTAATTTACCCAGATCATTGCCATGGATGTTCCTCCGGAAAAACATGTGGAAGTTTCTAAGTTTTGAATCGTTTTGACCCATACCCAGATGATGATCTCAAAATTACGACGCCCCTAAAGAGGGGTTCAGCCGAGAAATCTTGGTGCGAATGGGGATGATCAGCAAATTCTGCAGGGTGGTGTCAACGTGGAAAATCGAAAAATCGAATGGGAGTTTATCATGATAATTCCCATTTAGTCGATTTTTCGATTGAAACTAGCTGAGAGTTTATCATTGAAACTTCCAATGCTGAATGGTGGATTTCCGCATCCAATTGATCACTGGATCACTGGCGGGGTAACTCACTGGTGATCTGGTGTTTTGCTGTTCGATCCCACAAGTTGTTTCAGTAGATTGGGGTGATGATCCCAATTTCAACTGTCTGAGTGGAGAGCGTCTTGAACCCTGAAAAAGTAGCGGACAAAAGAAACATCCCAAGGAATTGGGTTTCCAACGCCCAAACGATAGGTTTCTGTTGGTTTATATATGTACAATGACTCGGATTTATGCTGGATATATTGAATTACATAGTTATGTAGATGATTCATGGTGGATATATAGACATATACTATATAGTTAGATGGGTTTTGCCATGATAATTAAAGCCTATAAAAAGCAACATTTCAGCCATTTCAGCGGGGCCTTCCGAAGCTAAGGTCGATTGCATTTGCAGCGGTGTGGTGCTCTTCCGTTCCACCTCCAAGGTCTAGCGATTGTTTTGGGGCACTGTTGGGAAAAAAGATGTCCGAAGATCGGAAAGCTAAAACCCGATGCCTATTCTATTTTTATTATACATACAATGTGAGGCCCCCCAGTTATAAGTTGGTTTATAAGCCCCAGCAACTATAGTTAGAAGTATCATAAACCATAGTTATTGGAGTTATAAACCAACTTAGCTATCTTCGGGGCCTCACATTGTAGATATGAAGTCATACATGTGTTTTTGAATTTTGAAACCTTGTAAGGTACTGTCTCTCTATGTACGTAATATTTTCGTATATGATACACAGATGCAAAGGGGGATAGATTGGATTTTTTTGCGGATAGCCAAACCACATTCTGCTGCTGCTGAATTCTGATTGAACTGGAAGGACTTCACCATGGAAGCGGCATCAGTACAGGTAGATGACCAAGAAGTAAAGAGATGGTTGGGGATAGCCTCTGGTTATTTGTTACATAGCCATGGTATAGATGGCCCATAGAAATAGATGATGTTCTCATTAAAACCTCCTCTGGTTATGACTAACAGTTCGCCATGGAAGCCATGGCCCATTGAAATAGATGATTTTCCTAGCGAACTAAACCTCCATTTATAAGGGATTTTCCATGGCAAACTGTTAAATAACCAGAGGGTACACAGGCTTCGTGTCAAGCCAAAGATGACCGTCTTGCTGGTTTCCAATATTTGAATTGTCCAAACTTAGTTTTGCTGAAGATGATCTTGATAAATTCAACAACCACTATAGCTAAGTGATCGGATTATACATATATGGTTCTGGGTCAAAACCGGAAGACCCACCTACCTAATGGGTACATTAGATACCCTAAAACAGCTGGTTAATGGATGTTTATTCCCCAAAATATGGTAATAATAGGTTTTGACCCATCCCCATATACATATACATATACATATATATATATACATATACATATACATATACATATACATATATGTTATATATTTACAATTATACATATATATTATTATATATACAATTATACATATTTATTATTATATATACAATTATACATATATATATATATATGCAATTTTACATATTATATATATATATTTATTTATTTATTTATGGGTTCCTAAAATGGGGGTACCCCTAAATCATCCATTTCAATAGGGTTGCTCATTATAAATCAACCATTTTGGGGTACCCCCATTCATGGAAACCTCCATATATCTCAGCTGCCTCAGGTGAAAGAATGGCTCAAGAAGTTGCTGATCTGGATGCATCTTGGGTTGGCCATGCATGGTAACATGTTATAACTCCGCTTAGGTTGGCCAAATCCAAATAACGGGAACGTATTATATCAGATATATTGAACCATCCAGTGGTTAGGAAGGAGCTGAGGAGCTATGGTTTTTGATTTTCCCTATAAGATGGGTAGCCAAAGAGCTACTGAGAGTTTCCCAACCACATGACCAAGCTCTCAGTAATCCTGGATTTGCTGAAGATGATTGTTTCTTTTCCCACTGGGAAATCCACTATTTGGGGAATCCATTATGGGAGTGTATATGAATCTATGTATATATATATAATCCCAATGATATTCCAGTAATGTTTGTAGATATAGATCAGCATCTATCAACATCTATCAACATCAACATCTATCAACATGAATATTATCTAAATACATACATATATATATACATATTACATGAATTTTCACATTCCCAACGAGTCCCCATGGTTTTTCCCCAGGTACAGCCATCCCTACGAACACGACCAGAAGCTCTTCAGCGCCTTCCTGCGCTTCGGCGAGCGTGTGGCCTTCGACCAGGAGCTGCCGGTGACGGCGGAGGAGACGCCCAGCGCCGTGGCCGAAACGGCGGGGCACGCGTTGAGGCGAAAAAGTTGGGATTTTCCATGGGAAAATGATGGAAAATGATGGAAAATGATGGGAAAAATGGGGATTTTGACGATTTTAACTGGTAAAAATGGCGGACACCTTGAAACATTGGAATTTGTAGTTGAAGCCGGTAGGTTACGTGTTGAAGTTGTGGTTGATACATTGAATTGATGGGGGTGAACATAAACCAAAGATAAAGTCGAGGGTAGAGGGTACCACATTCTGGAAGTTCATGTGGATTTCGTGGGCAAAATGTTGGAGGAAATTGACTATACAATCATGGATATTTGTCGAAAAGATGTTTGAAAAGAAATCCATAAATGAATGGATGATCCAATTATACAGATGATGATGATGATGATGATGATGATGATGATCCAATTGATGGTCCAATTACAGATGTTTTTTGGGTGAAGAGATCCGGGATTTCTCCAGCTATGATCAACTTTAAGGATTTATACAGCCAAGAAACGACTGTGGCAACTGTGGCGATATGATTTGTATACCCCATTTGTTCAATGGATGTTTTTCCTAAAATGGAGGTACGTTAGTACCATAATTCTGGCCATATTTTGTGGTGATATTCACTGAAACTAAGGCCTGATATAGGCCTTATATATGGTAGGTACCTCCATTTTAGGATCCTGAAATTCCCATTGATTTGTGGAGGATTAAAAAAAATGATGTGTTTCCATTTCAAAACTACCATCTATACGGCAATTTCCACTTGTTTTAATGGCAATATATGGGATCTCAAGTCGAGACCTCATGAATGGGATGGGATGCAGATTGGCAAAAACAACTCAAAAGAAAACATCGTTTGGCAGCAGAAACCTATCATGAATCTAACCATACATCCACGTTGGTGGTAATTGAAACCTGTGTTTTTGGTTATAAATCCCCTTTCTTAGTGGTAAAAAACTTCATTGGCATTGGTACAATCATAAGTTTCCTTGCTTGAATCCTCTATGAAATCACCATCTTCACCGTTAAATCACCATGAAATCAGCATTTTCCTATAGTTTTTCATGAAAATCTCCATGAAATCGCCATTTTCCCATGGTTTTTTCTCCATTTTTCCCAGGGGTTGCCACCGGCACCGCGCTCAGCGTGGCGCTTCCTGGACCCCGAGACGCAGTTCGTGTCCGCGCGGCACGTGGACGCCGCCGGCTGGACCGGGGACCCAGACCAGATCGTGGCGTTTCACATGCTGCAGCGTGGCAAAGGGCCGAAGGCGGCGGATTCGAATCATCTGGCTGTAATCTATAAGTAATAGTGATATAGTGGCTATATATAGTGATATAGTAATCTATCATCCAGCAATAGTGGTCCTATGGGATATGAAATGATGGCTATAACAGTTGGTTATTAACTATGAATAGTTGTGTACATATATATATACATGGCAATAGTAATATAAGTAATATGGCAATAGTGGCTATATATAGTGATATAGTTGATCAATATAATGGTTGGTGATCACTATAATATCACTATTACATTATGATGTTGATGAATATTGATTAACTTGGATAATAGTGGTTAACTATTAATAGTGATATACATATATATATATATGTGGCTATAGTAATAGTAATACATGGCTACAATATGGTATCATTATCTCAAAGCCATGGTATATTGTGATATGTTATGCTATAATAATAGTGAATCACCGAACTATAGTATATTATGATAATACCGTTATCATTATCTCAAAATCGCAGATATGTAACTATACCCGTAACTATATCACTCGGCTGTATTGCTTTATATATATACCACTGATATATTGATGACTGACTATGATTATATGGATAACCAATGTTCATGATTAATATCAACTATGTCAATATGGCTATAGTCAACTATCTTAATAGTATCATATACTAAATAGTGACAACTATATATCATCAACTATTTAATAATCATAAAAAGGTTGGTGATTAACTGATAGTGATATAGTTAATCAATATAGTAGTTGATTGTGATGGTAATATAGTTGCGGATCACTATCATTGAACCATATTATATGGTTATATATATATACAATAGTGAGATCATCTATATTGTTCAATGACTATATTACTAGTGACATAGTTGATAACCATAGAATACTGGATGATTCACTATTATTTTGGTTATAATATATATATACATGTCATATTTCTATCACCATATCTGGTTGGTGGTTTCAAACATGAATGTTATTTTACATAATATATGGGATGTCATCTTTCCCATTGACGAACTCCATCATTTTTCAAGATGCTTATTGCACCACCAACCAGATTAATATCCCATGAGTAATCACCATTATAACTATGGAAAGATCCACCATTTTATAGCTGGGAAAATCAACGATTTCTATGGCCAAACATTTTGATTTTCCATAGGTCATAGGTCATTCCTAGGTCGCCATGTTGATCGATTCTTATGGCCAAACATCCGGCCCATCCCACAGGTAGGCCAAAGAGCCCTGGTTTGTGAGTCCCTGCCATGGCCATCCCAGTCCCATGGATAATACTGGGATAATACTGCCTCCCATGGTTTTTCATGTGGTTTAATAAGGATCATTTGCGATAATGATGGGATAATACTGGGATATTAACGGATGTATCCTCCGGTAATTTGTTACATAGCTATTGAAGCCATGGCCCAGTCGAAATAGTTGATTTACCCAGCTACATAGCATGGTGGATCTTTCCAGTTCGTTTGTTGTAAACGTTTACCAGAGGGTAAAGCCCCCAGTTTCTACGAACAACTTTGCAGTTTTCGTGGTAAAAATCTGAGTGATTTCGAGTTCGGTGAAATTCTCGAGTGCGAGATGGGCGGGCCAGGGTCAAGGTGAAGTAGTATATGGAGCGTTGTGTCCAGATAAACGTATATATATACATATAATCATATTATATATACATATATATATAGTTATATACATATTTTATATACATATATATATATATATGTGATTATATGTATATAACTATATATATATGTGATTATATGTATATAACTATATATATATATGTGGATATGAATACATAATGCTACATACATGGATCGATCTATGAAACTATACGTATAGACATGCAAAAGCTTACTGAATACTGAAAGCTTTTGTGGCTCAATATGTATTGAAAAAAGGATCCGACATTCATTTTTAATTATTAAAAAATATTTTCATGGCTGAAGAGCTCAAATTCCCCACTGAAAGGAAATAACATGTTGAGATATACCTCATTCATGCTGTTCTTAAATCTGAAACCTATGTTGTCCCTATAAAGATCGTCAGTTTGGCTCATTCAAAAGCATTCTACCCATCAAAACAAAACGGCCCGAAACGGATATAGTTTGTTATATATATATATACACAGTATACACACCATTTGCCCTAGTAAATGCCAGTTTATGGCAAGCTGGGCTTATCCCCAATCCATGGTGTTTGCAAAATCATTTCATTAACGAACACAATCCATGGCCGTGAAATTGTAGTGGCCATGACGTAGCTAACTGTACTTGAGAAATGTAAAAACCATGTTTCTTTTTTAAACCACGTGTTTTTTAACATTTCATTACCTTCGATTATGTTCAATTCTCACTTTGTTTAAGATTACTGGTTGGTGGTTTCAAACATTTTTATTTTCCATTGATATATGGGATAATATGTTTCCCAATGACGAACTCCATCATTTTTCAAGATGCTTATCGCACCACTAACCAGTATATCTATAGTTAGTGTATTTACAGGTGATATATCTATAAATGGGTTAAAATCCCATAGAATCCCGTCATATTTCTATCACTACTCCATGTGAAAAATTTTCTCCACCAAATTCCGCAGATTTCCGGGAACTTTTTGGATGATCAGAGCGGTTTTTGTCATGGTTTTGGTGAGAGGGGACTACCATTGTTTTTGAATGTAATGAAGATTTGATATTAATGAATGAACTACAATGGTAATGGAATAGAGAAGTTATAGTCTAATGAACATGATTCGAATGTTAATTACTACGAATGTTCAATAATGAGTTATACAGGATGGGGCCCCAGTTCCTTGGCTAAGTTGGTTTTTAATAGTCCTTGGTTTCACATTTGGGTTGGTGAGAGGGGAATATAACTATTATAGGGGATGATACATCAACAAACATCACTGGGAGGTACCATCCTGTATCCTTACCATCATCCATTCAACAACATATATGAATATATATGGATGGGGAACATGATATTCTTATTAATTACTACTCATATGGCACTAATTATTAAAATAATGATATTACTACCTTTTTTTTACAGTACTCATGATATTCTAATACATATGTTCTCATGTTTAAAATGGCCATAGAAATAGTGGATTTACCCAGCTATAAAATGGTGGATCTTTCCATAGTTTTTTGTTAACGTTTAAAATTTCATGAACTGCCATGGCTTACCAACGTCATCAAGGCAGTCCCTTGCCAAGGCATGGGGATTCGGACCAAGCCTTCGCCAGCCGCCAGTTTGCCCAGCGCAACCGCCTGGGTGTGGGCTACCTGCCGCTGCTGGAGCGGCCGGGTAGACCCTGGGTAGACCAGGGACGGGAAGTTGAGGTACAAAAAAAGGTGATGTGAAGCGGAAAAAAAATGTGGTTTTTTGATGTTTGTTGAAACGATTGATTTCTGACAAAAAAAATGTGTTGTTTCAGTACAAAAAGGGTGATTTCCGTTCAATCAAGTTTGGTACAAAGTTTGCGTGATTTCGGTTCAATCAAGTTTGATCATGAAATATGAGTATTTTGCCATAAAGAATTGTGATTTCGCCAAGGAAATATGGGTAAAAAGTTTCTAATTATACACACGTCTACCCAATCGAAATGTCCCGATAGAAGTGTGGTTACAACCATCATTTCACCAGGAGTAATTTGAGTTGCGGACCGATTTGCGGCAATCACATAAAGGAAAAAAATGATGGTGAACCGTTGGATTAGGATTTGGGGGTACCCTGTTTTTGGTAAGTAGGTACCTTTTCTATGGAAAACTCGATGGATGTTTTATCAACAATAACTGGTTAAAAAGAAATATAGAAAATGGATTTGAGTGACTTCGTACAAGGTGGATGGTAGATCAACGAATCATGTTTCTAGCCAGAAGTATCAGAAATGAAGGAATGTAATCATCCTCGCAAACCACACATGTTTCACCTACTTCCCAAGCATTTCTCCAGCCTTTTGATGCCATCTCTGGAGTGCTGGAGAGCCTTTTTTTAACCAGGTTCATATACATTGTGTAATCGTATACATATATATATATACATCATATACAGATATATACACATTATATATATAGATATACACATCATATATATATATATATGTGAGTGTGTGTGTACATCCAAATAGTGATTGTGATCACATGTTTAACCATCTCCATGTCCGGTTCATCCAGAATCTCTGTGTTTTAGTTGATAACTCCAATTTCACTACAGTTTCACTAGGTAGATATCTCGAACTACCGTAGATGGACGAAGACGTTTCACTGGGCACCGTCACCAGGACCTCTTTTTCAACCAAACGGAGCTGCCTGAGTTGTACAAAACCCCGGTGCTGCCGCATCGACTGTCGCCAGAGCTCAAAGAAGCTCTGTATCGATCCTGGCTTCCGCATCCGAGGCCCAAAGTGCCTCAGAGGTGCAATGAGACCGTGCCAATGCAGTATTGAAAACTCAGTGAAACTATGGGTTGACTATGAGTTGACTATGGGTTGACTTAACAAGTTAATGGTGATTAAGCATCAGAAATAAATGTGTGTAGTTATAGTTATGTGCCTGTGCCATTTGGTAAACAGTTTGCGATGAAAAATCACCCATTTATTGAGCTTCTTTTCAACTTCTAATGGGCCATCTTCCATAGCTATGTTAGTTACTGGAGAGTATAGTTGACTATGGTTGACGATGGTTGACTATAGTTTGAAAGTGATTAGCCATCAAAAATAGAAGTTTTCAAGGAATTCATGGTGGCTGCGGTTATGATTTCTTATTCAATATCTACACTACAAGTAATTCTGTAGCGTCTTAATGTACAATAATGGTACCTGATATTACAGATAAAACTATTAGATATGTCACATTATGTATAAACATCAGATACTTCCATGAGATGTAATATCATAGACATGCTTGATAAATCTACAGATATCAGTAATGTATGTTTAGATATATCTATTGGATGTTGTTACATCATATGCATCCATTCCTGATATCTAATAGATATGCCTATGAGTCCATGATGTCTATAAAATCTACCCTCCAGTAAATTAACATAGACCCTGTCATACCCTGTCAGACAGGGATTGGAAGATTAGTTTCCACTAAAAATTGTGTGTTTTCAGGGTCTATATATGTTAATTTACCAGAAGGTATATATCATTAGTATATTGATGATTAACTATTGCGAGATGGATAATCAACTATAATAGTTATATATATATACATTTAGGCATAGTTAACTATATTGCCTATCTAATCACTATGTTAAGTATATATCACTATAGTCACTATATTGATTATATCAACTATGCCTTGTTCTTGGTATCTCTAATGGCTTTGCCGAATCCCACGTGGCAAGCTTCACGACAGGTCCAGCAGCCAGCGCAGCCAGCGCACTCAGCGGCGGTGACACCTGCGTCACCCCGCGCGTGCCTGACCAAAAATTGGGAAAACGGGTGCTTTGGATTATTTGGGAAAAGACGTTTGGGAAAGTTAAAAAAGAAAACATGGGAAAATTGGAAAGGCAACAACTTGGACTGTGGATGACGTTTATAATTTAGGTATGGTCATGACTTGATGTTTGGAGTTCGACTTTTTTTTTTAGCGCTGTGTATTACGCACTGTTTTCTTCGGAGTGGTTGCAATCCGCAAGGCTGTCGGAGGTTTGAACAACAAATATGACCAAATTGATGGGTTTATTTTCATGTCTCTGTGACAGTTTTGATGATGATTATATATTAATATTATCATTATTATGTTATTCTTATTACTATTATTATTATATAGTGACAAATTTGCATTGAGCAGACCTTAGGTGGCCGGAAATTTATGGCCGTTTTTAATTTCAGAGTGGATACTTTTGATAAAGCACTGAATTTCGGTGTACGCTATTTTCGAACAAACCCGAATGACGACAAGGGAAAACCACCCCAAATGATGCTTAGTAAGGGGAACGACCTCAAGAATTGCCTCATTTGAGGTTGGTGAATTCTTTCAATTCTGCCAGTACCAGCCACCTATTTCTTCTCGGCTGCCATGTCCCTCAATAGACTGGGCTGGGTGTCCAAGGTTGTCAAAGCTGCCTGGCCGCCTATGGCTAGTGAATCTAGTGAATTTGGGGATGGGTTCCCCAAAAAAAAAAACGGGGACTATGTTGGAAAACTTGCATCATCAAACATTTGAGGGGCCCGCCCGGGCTGCTGTAAAATTTCGGTTTATGACCTGATTGGGAAAAGAGCGATGGCACAGAGCATGACGCCCAGACGGCCTGGGTGGGTCCTTCCTGGAAGCACAGAGGGTACGACACAAGCAGCCAGTGGAAATCGCTGGCTGTACATCTATGATGGGCAGCCGAAAGTACCAGTGGAAGCTGCTCTTGAAGTCCTACGACTGGCAGAGGCTTACAACCTGCCAAAGCTAGCAGGTGAAATTGAGGCATCCGTGATCATCCGTGCCTGCTTGGACTGTACCTGCTTGGACTGTAGTGTCGCCCTGCAAGTTCTACAAGAAACACAAGGCCTTCATTCTTTGAGAGATGCCTGCGAAAATAGGTTGCTGAAGAGTTTGAGATTTGCAGCCAGCATCCAGATTTGGGGAAGCTTATTGCAAGTCAGCTGGCCCGAATTTTGGAAAGGGAAGATCTGGGTGTCTCACGGGAAGAAGCAGTAGTGAGCACAGTTTTTACTTGGAACAAACTTTCCAAGGACGGACATGCCTTTCGCATGCTGCTGCAACATATGCAATTTCAAGCACTTTCGATCGAAAATTTGCTTCGCCTCGGCCGTGCAACTCTCTCTGGTCTGAGTGGTGGCGACTTGCACCGGGAAGTTGATGATGCTTTGGCCTCTCGGAAAAGAATCCAAAGTCCAGCTACCTTTCAGTCGAAGACTCGAAGAGGCATTGCTTCAAGCACTGGTCGCCATGGAAAAGGTGCCAGCACCAGCATTGAAGCTTCAGGACGAGAAGTACTGCCCTTGCCATATTGCGCTGGCACGAAGGTGAACTTTTTGCTGCACACTTCAATAGCAAGAGCACCATCCTTTGTTGGAAGCCTGGAGACCCTGCAACATGCGTGCGACGTGTTGGGGGTGAAGGTGCCACTGTGGCTGGCATCAATGACTTGAGAGCCTGTCATAGCCTGGCCATCTCGCGAGAAGCAGGGAGATGTTCATGTCAGATCCGAAGAATAGGAGGCTTCTTCGTTTTCAAGATGGTTCTGGGGACTTAGCTGTTGGCAACACTGATGCTGCCCTGTTTTACTCTCCCGGAGGGCTGTATGTGAGCCAGGGTGGGAGATATGGTGGGAGAACAGTGCAAAAGTGGGCTCGACGCTAGTGTGATTGGGAAACTCTTCCAGAAGACATGCAGTTTGAAACGGAGCAGGTGTTTCTGACAAATGAATACAAATGAAGGGATGATCTATCTGTTGGATAATCTCAATAACCGTCGCATTTTGCGCATGAATCCAGCTCCTTGGAAGCTGTTGTGGTGGGCCAATCCCAACTGAGGCCTGGCTTTCCTAATGGACGTGTTTGTAAATGACAGTGGAACAATCTATGTTGCTGAGCTTTGTTCAAAGAAAGGTGTTGGCCTTCCACCCAGCGCAACTTTCACGGACTTGCAGTGTCCAGGCGAATTGCACCGGCACTGTTGCTTCAGAGCAGATCGCTGTAGGTTCAGGGCCCTGCCCCAAAGTTGGGGCTGTTTATGATTATCAACGACCTCCTGAGCTGAAACATCTTGAAACAGGTCCGGAAGTGGTGGGACTGGGTGAGTCATGGCTTAGAAACATCCGATTTTTTTTCTCGTTCCACCTGGGAGGACAATCCCAACTATTTCACATGATATGTGTGTCTGGTTGGTGCTTTGGAACCATGGAATTTTTTATTTTTCCCAATACTTGGGATATGTTGGGATTTCATGGAATTTATATATAAATAACTAATATAAATGGTATATCATATCTGGTTGGTGGTAACTGGAACCATGGAATTTTATTTTCCCCAATACTTGGGATGATGATCCAATCTGACTGTCATATTTTTCAGAGGGCTTGATGCATTGGATGTATTGGAAACCACCAAGACCAGCAACCAGCTCCAACCTGGTTATCAAGGCTCGCCCCAATGCCGGTTTGATCACAGATACCCGGCCTGGTAAACATAGAAAAAGCTATTGAAAATGGCCCAGTCGAAATAGTTAGATTTCCCCATGAATAGCATGATGGATCTTTCCATAGTTATGTAAGTTTGTTCACCAGAGGGCAAAGCCTCAAAATTTACCTGCAGTTTTTATGGTGTCCTGTCCTGACTGCGGTGCCCGAAAATCTCGGCACCCTCGATCCTGAAAATTGATGAGCAATGCGCAATGGCGTAGCAGATTTTCGCTAACAAACCCCAATTTTGGATGATTTTGGTTAAACCTTCAAATTTTTAGAGCACTGAAAATGGTTCCAACTTGAAGGTCCAGGTACAGTTTACAGGTATTCTATACAATATTTGGAACGTGCTCTGAAGTCAGTTTGGCAAGGCATTTACTTTCTTCAATGTGTTTTGTCGTGGAGAGATGTTGAGAGATATGATCAAGAAATCTTCGGTATCAACTGAGGATACAGCCCATAAATTATGGCATCGACTAGCAATATGTAAGTTGAATGTTCATCGTGATTTCCTCTTGCATACAAACATGGCAATTGAAATTCTGAGGGAGCCATCCAACTGGGGTTAGTCCATGTATATTCAGTTATTCACCCATATTTAGGCCCAGTTTTATCCCAGTCGAACTGGAGGGACAACTAGGAGTAGGATGCTTCAACCATATTTAAGCCCCATTCTTTGCTTAAACTCTCCCATGTGCACCATCAAAAAGTGGCTAAGCCCAACTAATCATAGATATAAATATGCCACCATAGTAAGTTGGGGCCACATATCCCAACTTATGAAGGTTTATGCCTAACTCCAACTTTACCCAGTATATCTCAGTTGGTCATATCCCACCCTGGTTATACCCATAAAACAAAGGAGCTATACCCAACCAACCCCAAGTATGACAAATGGAAAATCCACCATTTCTAGGTCAATAAACTGGATGGCTAGTTTAATCCTTTAGTCTTTTGGTATCAATGGGATCATCTACTAGCCAGCTAAGATTTTTTTTGCAGGGTATCTAAGATTGGCCATGATTTATAGATTGATTTTCCCAGCTATAAACCTCCATTTCGTTCGGGGACTTCCCAGGGTTCCATAAGGTGCGAGAGAAACCTTCAGGGCTCAGGTCCAGGTACCGGAAAGGGTCATGGGTCATGTTGGAGCAAAAACGGCGCCACCATCTCCAAATTTACCACTTTTATGTGGTTTTTTAACCATCAATCCATATGGGTGGTTTATTTTTTCCATCAATCCATAGCTACATCTTCCCCAGCGTGCATCATTTCTGCCTTTTGAGGGAGTTCTGCCTTTTCCGGTTAGAAGGTGACTTTACCCGACCACGGGCGACTTTCGCGAATTCAAGTAATTAGGGCCACCTTTTTAATGGTGGCAGAAATCTCTCAATGTTTTCTAGGCTAAATATGCCAATCCAAAGATAAGGCGGTCTTGTCACCAAATTCCCTCAAATCTATTGGTGAAGCTGGGTTTACTTGTTTGAAAGGCCCAGCTGCAAAGCAGCCGTTTGACAACAACACAGGGCAGTAGCACAGCCCACACTTTCTTACCTGGAGTGTATTATATATTAATATATATTATATATCCTTACGTAGTTTCCTATATCTTTGATTTTGGGCTGTAGCCAATGCAGGGCATTAGGCCCAGGCATGGTCTTCGGATCTCTCCTGCTAGAAGGGGAAAGATTTTGCTGGAATTTACCATGTCTTTCTCTGGGAGTTTGTAACCCTCAAAAGAAAAAAAACGGAGCGGGCGACTTTTCCCGACCAAACGGAACTTTGCGCGGCCTAAAGGCGACTTTACCCGACCAAAGTTTTTGATGCATTATTTCCATGGGGGTAGAAGCATATTCCAGTTGAAGCCCATCCAAGGCCAAATTCAAACATGTTCATGCCAGAGCAAACTCTTGCAATTGCAACAAGCCGGTGTGTGACAGCTGAGGATAGGAACATGAAATAGCTGGGTAAAACAAAAACTCTACTGGGATAGTTTGGCTAAACCAAAAAATGCATTGGGATAATTTGTACAAGCAAAGAAACTTGTTGGGATAGCTATTGGTTAAACTTAAACCAAGAAAGGTGGTGGGATAGTTTGGGCAAACCAAAACATATTAATGAAAATGTCTTTAGATATTTTGGGTGAATCAAAACATGTCTACTGGAGTAATTTGGTGCAGTTTCGGTTTCATGATTTCCTGACAGGCGATTCTAAAGACAAAAGGCGATTCTGAAAAAATCGAGCAGAAATTTCTGCCTTTTACCCTCTGGTAAACTAACATAACTATTGAAAATCACCACTTTTAGAAGGTAAATCAACTATAACTGTGCCATCTATACCATTGCTATGTTAGTCATTACCAGAGGGTAGTAAAAGAGCAACCAAAAAAAAAACATACCTGGAAGATCCATGGGATGTCAACCATCAATCCATATGATTGGGTGCTGCTTTGATTATGAATTACTGGAGAATTATTGGAGGTAGCTATCATTTTTCAAAGGTCCATGTGAGGGTTAAGGGATGTTAAGGGAATATAGCCCTGAAATATGGTTTTATATGCTACAGTACCTCCAGGCTAGGTACCGAAATGGCCATTGGATAGGTACGTGCTGCGATAAATCTCTTGCAGTATAGCATGGATGTAAATGGGGAAATATGCGAAGAAGCTATAGAAAACAATAGTTGTTCATGGTATCGAAGATTGGCCCATTGACACCAATGTAGATAAATTCTAGCGACCTCAGAACAAGCTCGCCAAAGATGATGGTGAATAGGCTGAATAGGGAGAATCCGTCCCAAAAACAATTTGGAGGGTTTCTTAAGTCATGGGGGATCCCCAAAACCATTGGTTTCAATACTACCCTCTGGTAAACTTACAAAAAGCTATTGAAAATGACCATTTATAGTGGATTTTCCCATACAAAATGGTGGATCTTTCCATAGTTTTTTGTACGTTTACCAGAGGGTAACATGGTCTAACCCGAATTTCATTCGCATGATTTGCTGATGAATTGAACATGTTCATCGAAGTTCTGGGAAAGCCAAAACAAACATCCCAACAAAATTGGCTAATGTGGGTAAAACAACAATAAACCAATCCCCCAATTCACCATTTTTATAGGTGGTAGAAACCATTCCCAAGAAAATGGCTGGTAAACATGGCAGCCAGTTTTAGCCACCAAAAACGTACCAAACCGTACCCCGAAGCCCGTGGCACCCGTGGCACAGGAAACCCCGGTGGATGTCCTCCAGGGCCGAAGCCAGCCAAGCCCGCGCCACCAGCGCCCGCGTGGGAGAAGTCCATGAGGAGCAGTGGAAAAAAAAGATATTCCGTGCACGCCGGGACGCATGGAAACTATGGAAACTACTGAAAACTGAACAAGTCAACATAAAATACGTATGCCACCATTAGTTTGTTAAATTCGATTGAAGGCTAGTGTGCTGTGAAATGATTTGATGTATGTAACTATAGTAATTCCAAAAAATGGAATGTATAGAATTCATCACTATGATTAGAATGAATTTACTTTTCTATCTTTTTGGGGATTACTACAGAGTTTCTGCTTCAAGTTAGATGAGCAGTTCGCCAAGCCAAATATCCAAAGGTAAACGCATGGTTTAGCAGTGGCTGCAAGACAGCCCTGTTGGTTCATGAGAAAGTGGGTGCTATTTTCCTTTATATATTGTGGAGTATTATAATCATACATTAATCGAATCCCGTCTTTAACCAAGATGTTTTTCATGGGAACGACATTTTGGGTTTTGAACACAGCTCACATGTGACGTACAGCCAAATCATAAATCGCTGCAACATCTTCAACCAAGGACCCGGACCGCCAAGTGATGACCACACTGGAAGTTGGACATCCCAAAAAAACAAAGATCTTTGAGTTCCGGTAGCAGTTTTCAACATATTCTGGTTGGTGGTTTGGAACATTTTTTCCACTATATACGGGATTGTTTTTCCCATTGAGTTTCATATTTTCAAGATCGGTAAAACCATCAACCAGTATTGATTTTCTATAATAACGAGACCAACTCACAATTCGACAATATAGTTTTTTTGGTTCAACATAATGATCTTGGCAGAATTCCCAACTCACAAGTCATTTCAGTCAGAACTTTGGGAGCACATGATTTCAAATTCAATGCATGACAACTTGGAAAATAAGATGAAACTTGAAGTCTGGAAGACATTCCATCACCTAAAATTTGGATCACTATGAAACTTGGAGATCATCTAGAATTTCACCCAGGATAGATCAAATCTATGTCCCAAATCTACGATGCCATGTATAATACATATGGGGATGGATCAATACCTAATAATACCATTTTTAGGGGGATGAACATCCATTTACCAGCTATTTTGATGTGAACTACAGGGGTACAAGGTTTTGACACACTGCCATATCACCAAATATCTCCCAATTTTTTCTCCAAACGCAATGGATTCGCCCGGCGACGGAACCACTGTTCCCGCGCCGCCGGCGCCACCCCCGGCGCTGCCGGTGGTGACCCCCAACAAGAATAGCTTGGAGGCGCCAACATCCCCTGACTTCCCATTTTTATGGCTCGGATTCCATATTCCAACCAGTTTATATGGCTGATTTATTGCTTTACTGACATGGAATATTTAACAACATCACCGGAACAACATGGAGCACATGATGTATATGTCTGTTGGTAGAATGTGATGAAGAATTTGAAACGTCGATTGAAGCTTGTCTATCTTGAACCCTCGGCCGCCGACTTTTTGGGTGGTTCTTATTCATCGGCAAAAGTATTGGAATATCACCCACAAAAGCTAACAAAAATATTGGAATGCGATGGGATAAAATAAGATATACCCGCCCACTGCAGGTAGGTGACAACATCAATGCCTAGCGAGCCTGGTATTTCTTGCGATGAGCGAATGTGTCGTAGCAAAAGACGCGTTTGTCATTAGGGCATCAAAGATTTGACATGCCAAGAAGTAGGAGAACAAAGAAAATTCACCGAAAGAAAGACATGTTGTTTTTTCATTGACAGGTTTGCGGTTGTTTTCACATACAACTTGATATATGAGCCACACATCAGGAGCCATTTCAATACCTGTAAAACCACCTATGATTCGACAAGTACATAATCGAATCCCTTTAACACTGTACTCCTGGCAACCTGAACCACTATAGTTCTGGCGGTTGTTCCCCCTCAACAGTTTCTTTGGTGCTGAAAGCCGTGGTTTTCTGATTTGCTTTCCAGAAGGGTTGCCAGAAATATCAATACTGGGCAATCTTTCAAGGATGGGGCTATTCATTTTGAACCATTGCCATAGCTGGATAATGGTTTTCCTGCTTTTTTGGAGCTGTTATATGTTTTATATCGGTGGTTTACAGTAACCATTGACTGTCTGACAACCACACAAAAGATAGAAAAGCAATTTGCCACTCTTTAAACTTTGATTTTACATTTCCATCTTTTTGGTGATTCCTATATATGTAACTGCATTAATGTAAATTAAGCATTCTATCCTTTGAAAACCATCATTTGGATCTCTGAAATAACTCAGTTGCTATGCTTATTTTTGTTCATAGAACGTACCCTCTGGTAAACGTTTACATAACTATGGAAAATCACCATGCTATTAATGGGAAAACTCACTATTTCTATGGCCATTTTCAATAGCGAACTGTTAGTTTACCAGAGGGTAAAGTTTCAAAGTCCAAAGCTGGTCATTCATGGCTATAACATCTGTAACCATAGGGCCTGAAAAACATGTTTTAACCCCAGAAGTTGGCACGTTGTCAGGTCCTCATGTTTCCACATTTTTAGGAATGCAGTGGTTCTACTACATCATGTTTCATCATTTATGTTAATATACCCTTTGGTTATTTAACATAGCCATGGAAAATCATCACTTTTAATAGCTACATGATCTATTTCTATGGGTCATTTTCCATAGCTATGTTAAATAACCAGAGGGTACCTTAATTGCTTCATCATAAAAAATTATGTAAGGTATATTAATATAAATGTATCTACTACATCATTAGATCATGTGTTTTTTCGACCCCCAAATCGCTATCCATGGCCGCGAGGCAGATCTGAAAGACCGTTCCAGCCAGCCGGGGTCGTCCAGTAAGGGGGACGGCCCGCTGGTCTCAGGGAAAATCCCAATCTAAAATGGATGAGAACTAGGGGTAGCCCTATGACTTAAGGGTAGCCCCCAACTCATGGCAGAGTTTGCGTTCATTATTGGAGGGTAATTCCATTGGCTCCTAAACACTATTGGATCAGTAGGGTTTATCTAATGGTATCCCCAATAACATCCCATTCAATCACCATTTCCAAGTATATAGCCATTTTACACCAATAATGGTTCCACGTGAAAATAACCACTATTTCTGGTTGGTGATTTCAAACATGAATTTTATTTTCCATTTCATATATTGGGGATTATCCGTCCCATTGACGAACTCATATTTTTCAAGATGGTTATTGCACCACCAACCAGTAGGGGTAGCCCTATGGCTTAGGAAACCCCCAGAAAAATGGGTCAAAAGCCTGGTGTTGTGAACCTGAAAATAGTTGGTTAATGGATGTTAATGGATGGATATGGATGCTAATTCCCCAAAATATGGTGATCATAGGTAACTTGACCCATCTATGTCATAATATGATCGTATCTGTCACATATATGGTTACCACTATGGTACCATGATTCGAGATGATGTTGAAATATAGCCATAGTTGGAGGTTATCCCAATGGTTGTTGGGCTGTGTTGGTGTTTTTCGTCCACAGTAACCATTGGATATCCATTGGATCTATGGCTATATCGACGCTTGAACTGGTTTATATAGGTTTATAAACATTATACGGTTAATAGTGGTTAATAGTGGTTAATAGTGGTTAGTATATCTGGTTGGTGGTTTGGAACAATGGAATTTTATGACTTTCCATTCAGTTGGGAATGTCATCATCCCAACTGACGAACTCCATCATTTTTCAGACGGGTAGGTCAACCACCAACCAGACATTATAAACCAATTCAAAACCGGGGGCACTGCGCAACCAAGATTAAGAAAATAGTTGGGATACGACGGGAGATGCTCGCCTATCACCGACATTATATGTCTGTTTCTATAAAGTGGGGTACAAATGGGGTACCCCCAAAATGGCAATTATTCTAGGAGATTTTTGATGGTTCAAGTATTTGATTGCGGGGTAGAGTATGTTGGGACGAGCCTAATGACAGTGAAGAACGTGCAAAAGAACATGGGTTTGTCTGAAAATAGTGTACGCCTAAATCATCGGTGGATCTGTGGATCATCATTACCCCTACTTAAGCCACAATTGGGGACATATACCCCGTTTTTGCCCTGGTTGGTGGTTTGGAACATTTTTTCTTTTCCATAATATATGGGATAATCCTTCCCATTGACGAACTCATATTTTTCAAGATGGTTATTGCACCACCAACCAGTGCCAGTCGATTTTTGAGAAGTGCTTGCAACGTGGCGATCAACGAGGAAGCATTCAATGCCAGGTCGACAAGGTCAGGGTCAAGTCTTTGTCGGCACATTAGCAGCGCTAATGTGCATGTACTCCGTGTATCATCATTGATCCATATTTATCCTGTTTCATCATCCTATGATTTTCCGTGTTCATGTACTTTCAGTCCACATAACTGACATAACTCACATAACTCACATAGCTGAAAACTGAAAGTCCTCCATTTGCCCATTACGACTTTTTCAATGCCCAGGCGTGCCGTGCTGCGGAAGCTCTGGTCCATCTATGCTGAGACTGTCTTGCCACTGGAGCAGCAGCCGGAGAACCGAGCACAGGGATGGCGCTATGGAGCTTCAGTTGTGGCCGGCTTGGTTAACTAACATAATACTAATACAACCATGGAAAAAAACACTATTTTGATAGGTACCCTCTGGTAATTTGTTACATAGCGATTGAAAATGACCATTTATAGTGGATTTTCCCATTAAAAATGGTGATTTTCCATAGTTATGTAAACGTTTACCAGAGGGTAACACAACCATGGGAAAAAAAAAAAAACTATTTTGATAGGTAAATGTCTATAAGTGATTCATTTTCTAGGTTGCTTTACTGGCCAAAAGATGCAAATCCATAAACTTACGGCTAACTGCTTTGTCAATTTTGTCATCAAAAATCCTGTGAACTATCCAACTTTTGGACACAGTATTCATCCGAATAAATTATCAACTGAACTATCAATAAATCCAGCTTAGTTCAAATTGAGCTATCGGATAGTTCAGTCGAATAAGTGAATAAATATCCAGCTTTTGATAGTTCACACCTCGACTAGCTTGCAGCTGTTTGTGGCTCCGTTACTGCTTAAACCGTTGCTTGACTTCATTCTTCGCTTTGATGGTTAAGACCCTGACTTTGTTGTTCCAACCAGCATCGCTTTAGCAGTTGGACAATCCTAGTAGGTTGATGGTAGTAGAAGGATTGTTCCACCCAATATGTTGGGCATTTTTTCTGATCTTTTTAACTCCCGTGAAAACCATAGATGTCCTTTTCCCATTGGTTGGTTGATTAATAGAGGGGTTTGAAGAAACCCCTTTAACAACAGGTTTCTATGATGATAGATGGTATACCAGCTCCCGGCCCCTCTATTTTTACCAAACCGCCGCAAAATCGGTGTTCAAACAGCAGAAAACCGCCGTAGACCGCGGTGAAGATCATCTGAGAACCGCCCAACAATCATTCTAGAGATCTACCCTCTGGTAAACGTTAACATAACTATGGAAAATCACCGTTTTCAATGGTAAAATCCACTATTTCAATGGTCATGTTCAATAGCGAAGTGTAACAAATTACCAGAGGGTAAGATGTTCCAACAATCATCCTGATAATGTTGCCTTGGATTCTCCAAAAGAAACCCCTAGCTTTTTGTTAAATAAATCCATATAAATGGTGATAAAAAACACCACTGGTATGCCACTGGTATGGCCCAACTATTAATGCTTAAACATCCCATTTTTTCTGGTGGCTTCTAGCTATACCACTCACTGATTGGTAAAACCCCTAGATGTTCTCTTTCACCATGAATCCCTAGAAAGTCTTGATTTTGCCATAGCTGAGAAGGACTGTGCGAGAAGGACTTCATCATTATCTATTGAATCTATTGATTAGGCTGCACACACATAGAAACCCTCTACTCGTTTTTGACATTTCTTCCTGTCAGCAGACATGGCTTCGCAAGGGGGTTTGGTTGGTGGTTTGAAACATGAATGTTATTTTTCCATTTACTGGGAATGTCATCATCCCAACTGACGAACTCATATTTTTCAGAGGGGTAGGTCAACCACCAACCAGTATAGGAAACACATATATATATATATTATTCATATTATGGTACTTGGTGGGATTATTATTCCAAATCCATGATGGAGTAGGTTTTTCAACCACCAACCAGATAGAGTTTTTTCAGAAAACATCGTGAATCCATGATGCATTGGGCTGAAATCTCAAAATCCCCAGTGCTATATGATGCCATTTGAAAAAAAGGGACCACAAAAACGTGTTCCCATGTTTGATACCCATTTAATAGCCAGAAGATATGAATATGTAGGAAAATCTCATCATATTCCCATGTTTGGTGGTAAAATCACCCAAAGATCCCACCATCAAGTCACCATTTTTGCTCATTAAATCACCATAAATCGCATGAAAGCACCATTAAATCGCCATCCATCATGGAATAATGCCATAGAAGCTCTATATAATCGCTATTTTCGTGGCATCCTTCGAGGCAATGTCCTCCCCTCCCCGAGCTCGTCATAGACGTCAGGTCCTTCTACGACCACTTCGGTGCCCCGCCCGTGTCGCGAGAAGAGTTTGAAGCGCGACCACAGGTGGCGCCGTGAAGCCGAAGGGGCGCAAGGGGCGTGGAAAGCCGTAGGGTAAGCGAACGTAGACGTGAAAAACCCATGGTTCTCCTAGGAAATCAAGGGTGGCAGGGACTTGATGCCATACTTCAGTTTCAAGCTCCTGCAGTACCAAAGTCAGTTCCCCAATGACATTCTCTCCTTGGACGCTTCGAGACAATCATGATGAGCAGAAATGGCCGAGTTTGCTCCTCGAATCGTGGATTGGTGAACGATATGCTTCACCTTCGACGGTAAGACTTTTGGTGATGATTTTTCCCAGCTCATCGAGGATGCAATTGGCATCAGAAACCTCTGATTGACATGGGCAGGTACAAGTTCCAAGGTTGAGGACTTTGACAGGGTTGCATCCTACTTCATGACTCAGTCACTCAGTCTGTAAGTTGGAACCGAAGATGCTTGGTGGCAAAGTCGAGGTCAAAGCAACCATCAACAAACCAAAAGCTGGTTGGTGGTTTCAAATATTGTTCATTTTCCATTTCAGATATGGGTTGTCATCCTTCCCATTGACGAACTCCATCATTTTTCAGGGGGGTAGGTCAACCACCAATTGTTCAGTGGTGATTCCAAGAGTGAACGGAAAGGGCTCAATCTCCGTGTACATTTTGCCATCCATAACTGGTTGGTGGTTTGGAACAACAATTTTGCCATCCATAATCTATGGTTAATAATGGTTAATAATGGTTAATAATTGGAATAACAATATATCTGGTTGGTGGTGACTGGAACCATGGAATTTTATGACTTTCCATTCAGTTGGGAATGTCATCATCCCAACTGACGAACTCCATCATTTTTCAGAGGGGTAGGTCAACCACCAACCAGATAATGTCTTTGAAGGCGCTGGATGTGACGGAAAGTTTCACCCTTGGTGGACACAGACACAGTGGTTTTCCTGTCAACTTCTGTCAGTGTCACCCTGTCCTGGTCACAACCCGTTTACACTTTCCAGTTCCTCGCAATGGATGCCCCAGTACAGAGGATTGTCCTTTCAAATGGATTCAAACTCGATACTGATTGGTGGGTTGGAACCATGGAATTTTATTTTCCATTTCATATATGGGATAATCCTTCCAAAATTGACGAACTCATATGTTTCAAGATGGTTATTGCACCACCAACCAGGATATGTTTCATTTTTCAGTGTTTGATTCCCTGAAAGTAATACGTGAAAACGTCTTGAGAACAAACTCCATGTCTGTTTCGAACAGTATTTACTAGCTCTAATCCCATTTAAATCTCATTCATATCCATTCATGATGGTTTAATCCCCATGCAATACCTATCATGTTAGTAAAGCAATAGTAAATCATCCCACACAGATGGGTACCATGTTTATAAACACCCAGAAGTTGGTTAAAATCCCGTTAAATACCTACAATCATTAATCCATGGTGAGCATGAATCATCATCATTGAACCACCATTAATCATGTTGATGATCGTTTATTCATCATCATTACTCAGAAAAATCATCATGAAATAAATTCGTCGACATTCATGAATTTTGGTGATCATATGCTGTTGCTCATACTCACCCATAAGTAAGTCATATCTGTGAAAAAAAGTCCCACTTCTCATAGCTACGTCACTGTCATCTCCAACGATTTCAGTCGCACCTCGCGTCGCTCACGCCAGGTTTTGCTGTTGGGGCAGTACAGCACGGGCAAAACCTCCATGGCGCCTTGCTGGAGATGTTAGATTGGATTTCCCTCAGGTCATTTGTGACACTTTGCGAACTTGAAAATGGCCCAGTCGAAATGTCGTGGATTTAGCCATTGATAGTTGGGTGGATCTTTCCATAGTTTTTTGTATGTTTACCAGAGGGTAGATATCTGAGTATCTGATAGATACGTTTTTTTAGAATTATAGTAGATATATATATATATAGTCAATGAATTCTGATAGATACTAATTATATTAGATGTCTGATCCAATAGATATTGGTTAGTAGAGGTGAGATTAGATATTAGATTAGATATTGATATATATATATATACATATTATAGATATAGTATTAGTAGACTGATATCAATATTGAAGTTGTGGTAGATATCTGATTATCTGATAGATATAGATAGATAATTACTATATTAGATATCTATCCAATCAATCTATCTGATTTAAGATTTGATTTCATTAGACTGGATGAGATGGGATTAGATATGTATGATATGTATGATATGTATGATATGTATGATATGTATGATATGTATTTGTTGATCTATGCTGGTGTGTAGAATATCGATACATACTTGACCCATGGCGCTAATATCTGCATATCGTGAATAGAAATTAACGATTTAAACCATGTTTTTACAGATCCTGAGTCTGCTGGTTATGGTGGCTTTAGGCTTTACCACAGCAAAGCCGTGAAACCTTGAGGGATCGACATTTTAAACAGCCGTGAAAACCACTGGGACAGCCCTGCAAGATGCAATGGTGATTCGCGGTTGCGGTTGGTGATAGCCTCTGGTTATGACTAACATGGCCATGGAAGCCATGGCCCATAGAAATAGATGATTTTCCCAGCTAGATACCTCCATTTATAAGGGATTTTCCATGGCTATCTTAAATAACCAAATGGTAGTTGATGAAATAAAAAAGAACTGGATGTCGCTCTGGATATTCCCCGCTGTAAGTCCAAAAACATCTTTTTACTGAGTGTGTACAAGCTTCGTGATCCAGTTTGTTCTAAGAACTGAATTTTCCATGTGCGTTTCTTTGTGCCTGCAATCAGCCTCTTTTATATCTTTTATGGCTACAGATAGGCTGAGTCACACGGATTTTGCAAGCCTTTTCAGTGGAGAAAGTCGTTGATTTGGGCAGGATGACCTATAGTTTTTTCTTTGGCATCAGAATTTCAGGATAAAAGTTCGGAAGATTTCCTTTGAAATCATTCTACCCTCTGGTTATGACTAACATAGCCATGGTATAGATGCCCATAGAAATAGATGGTTTACCTAGCTATATAGCATGGTGATTTTCCATGGCGAACTGTTAGTCATAACCAGATGGTAACTCATATGGGGTACCCATACCCAAGCGCAGAGGTCTCAATGGAAGGCCGCCTTCCATTCTGCGGGGATTCCCCATCCAACAAAAGAATCCAGACATTTTAATCCCCCTGTTTTGAGATTCAGAGTGATGAGTTACCCTCTGGCTATGACTAACAGTTCGCCATGGAAAATCACCATGCTATATAGCTAGGTAAACCATCTATTTCTATGGGCATCTATACCATGGCTACGTTAGTCATAACCAGAGGGTAAATTCTCTGTGAGTTCGGGTCAAATCTATTTGATTACACAGTCCAAGTTGGATTCTGGTCAACTTTCCTGCTGAACAAGGCATCATGTTGATACAATCCTGAGTTTTCAGTTGGCTTAGGCCTAGTTCACCCAGTTTTACTGTTAAGTACATGAATCCACCTCGTCGTCTTAATTTTGGCAGGTTCAATCACTTTTTCGGTAAAATCATCATGTCCAGTGGTGAAATCCTCATTTTTCCTGGCAAATTCACCATTTCCGGCGGTGTTCATCATATCAAGGTGCAGTGGCTCACGGGCATGAGAAGTAACCACTTCGATGTACGGCCACAGCCCAGTACCGATAAGTTGGAGGCTCAGATAGGGAGCTGGTGTAGTGAATGTGAAGCATGGCACACAAGGTGGTGCCCCCCCAGTGATGTTTGTTGGTTTATAATCCCATTAACTATAGATCTACCATAAGTCCTAGTTATTAGAGTTATAAACCAACTTAGCTATCTTGGGGGCACCACATTGCATGATGGCACGTGTCATCATGTGATACTGTGGATGGTTGCGAAATCCTGCACCAGTTGGAAACGGTGGTAAACATCTCATTATTTATAGGGGTTCAACCATCCGGTTGGTGATGCAGGATTTCGCAACCATCCACCGTATGGGGGTTTCCATAGTCATGGGGTACCCCAAAAAAAAATGATGCTTTATAAGGGAAGATCCTATCTACAAATGGATGATTGAGGGTTTCCATCATTTATGGAACCCCCCGTATAGGACCCTGAGAAAATTCACCAGCCCAAAAACATGACTTGATCGGATTTAAGCAGCTATTTGTTTAATGATTTCATGTGAGTTAACCATAGTTAACCAGCAAAAATAGGTGGAGATGATATCTGGTTGGTGGTTTGGAACATGAATTTTATTTTCCATTTCATATATGGGTTGTCATCCTTCCCATTGACGAAGTCCATCATTTTTCAAGATGGGCACAGCCAGCACCACAAAACCAGATATATTATTCATTAGATCAGGTATTAATCACTAATAACCACTATAAACCACTATTAATCACGATAAAAACCATGGTATATCTATAGTTAGTGTATTTACAGGTGATATATCTATAAATGTGTTATTATCCCATAGAATCCCATGTCATATAATCACATATAAATTCAACGGCCCAAAATGTTGATTTAACAAAGAAAAATAGGTGGAATTTCAACGGAAAAGATGAGGAAATTTCAATGGATTTCATGATTTCATCAACCTTCAGAAGACTTCCCACCGGTGATGCCAGAGGCAGCTGACATGGCTTGTGCCCTCCTCTTGCATGACTATCTCATGCGATGCATTGCAGCAGCAATTGCATATGTGCTTGATATTACCTGATATTGCATCTGTGCGTGATTGGTCCTCTTTCGCAGAGTCTTGTCCCCTCACTGTGTCTGCAAAATCTGAGCGGACAGGTTGTAAAGACGGAAGTTGACACTCGCCGGAAAGTTTTCTTGCTTGTTGCAAGTGATGGTCCAACACTTACTTGGACTTGCTCACTTCCCGTGTGTGTTTACCTGCAATCAGTTCTGCCGACATTTAGCATGTTGGTTGCTTTCAAGAAGCGACCCTTTTGGCAAATCCAAGATGTAGAATCATATGTACATATGTATACAATTGTATGTATATATTTACATATATATATTTTTATATACGTGTATATATATATATATTTATTTACCATTTTTACATATATATATATATATATATTCTCTTTGGCAATGAAACGTTGCAATGGGAATTCCTCTATAAACGGAAGTTTATAGCTGGGAAAATCATCGAACTGTTCAGGGTGATTTGCCAGCAGGCCACATGTGATGAAATGGGAGGGTATATTGAATACGGCAATAGCCATGATATATCACTGGTTGGTGGTTTGGAACATGAATTTGTTTGACTTTCCAGAAGCAGTTGGGAATAATCATCATCACTGACGAAGTCAATCATTTTTCAGAGGGGTAGGTCAACCACCAACCAGTAAATCAATGGGATCCAACCAGTTCGCCATCGCCATGGAGTCATTCAGCATCCAGCCAGACATGGTGATTTTTCAAGCCGACCAGTTCGCCATGGAAGCCATGGCCCATAGAAATAGATGGTTTACCTGGGTTTACCTAGCTATAAAATGGTCATGTTCCATAGTTTTTTGTATGTTTATTAGGTTAAACCTCCATAGAAATAGATGATTTTCCCAGCTATAAACCTCCATTTATGGTTGGGATTTTCCATGGCGAACTGTGAATGTCATAACCAGAGGGTTTTTTCTGGTGCATTGGGATCCAATGGGCCAAACTTGGACCAAAAAAGCGCGTTCCAAGGGGGTTCAAAACCTTTTTTATTCCCGAGAGCGTCTGAGCGCAGGGTTCTTCCAATAGTGGGGGTCTGTATCTCATCTTCTCATCTTCACACCTTCTCATCTTCACACCTTCTCATCTTCACACCTTCTCTCACATCTGCTCCTCTTCACATCTTCTCATCTTCACACCTTCTCTCACACCTTCTCATCTTCACATCTGCTCATCTTCACATCTGCTCATCTTCACATCTTCTCATCTTCACATCTTCTCATCTTCACATCTTCTCATCTTCGCATCTTTTCTCACACCTTCTCATCTTCACACCTTCTCATCTTTACATCTGCTCATCTTCACATCTTCTCATCTTCACATCTTCTCTCACACCTTCTCATCTTCGCACCTTCTCTCACACCTTCTCATCTTCACATCTTCTCTCTCTCTCACTCTCTCTCCTCTTTCCTCTTTCTTTTCTCTCTCTCCTTTCTCTCTCCTTTCTCTCTTCCTTTTCTCTCTCTCGCCTTCTTTATCTTTCTCTCTTTAGGCCGAGGGTGGTGCCGGCGAGGAGTCACGAAACGTCAACCCTTTCGCACGAAATGAGGGTCGATCGGCAAAAACTGAGGTAAAATTGCGATTTTACTTGTGCTGGAGCAACCTTTTCACACGAAATGAGGGTCGATCGGCAAAAACTGAGGTAAAATTGCGATTTTACTTGTGCTGGAGCAACCCTTTCGCACGAAATGAGGGGCGATCGGCAAAAATTGAGGTAAAATTGCGATTTTACTTGTGCTGGAGCAACCCTTTCGCACGAAATGAGGGGCGATCGGCAAAAACTGAGGTAAAATTGCGAGTTTACTTGTCCCGGAGCAACGCTTTCGCACGAAATGAGGGTCGATCGGCAAAAACTGAGGTAAAATTGCGATTTTACGTGCCCCGCACCAACCTTTTCGCACGAAATGAGGTTCGATCGTCAAAAACTGAGGAAAAATTGCGATTTTACGTGCCCCGGAGCAACCCTTTCGCACGAAATGAGGTTTGATCGTCAAAAACTGAGGTAAAATTGCGATTTTACGTGCCCCTGTGTAAAAGCTCCTGTGTGTAAAAGGGTCTTTGTTAAAAGTGTCTGTGTGTAAAAGTGTCTGTGTGTAAAAGCATCTATGTAAAAGCGTACGTGTGTAAAAGTGTCTGTGTGTAAAAGCTTCTGTGTAAAAGCGTATTTGTGTAAAAGCTTCTGTCTGTAAAAGCTTCTGTGGGTAAAAGCTTTGTGTAAAAGTGTCTGTGTAAAAGCGTCTGTGTGTAAAAGCTTCTGTGTGTGAAAGTGTCTGTCTGTAAAAGCTTCTGTGTGTGAAAGCTTTTGTGTGTAAAAGCTTCTGTGTGTAAAAGCTTCTGTGTGTAAAAGTGTTTGCGATGCAAACTATTGTCTTGCACTTCTGCTATTTTGTCTTAATACTCCTCTTCTCGACTGCCTATAACACATCTTATATATATTGTTTCTAATATTGTGTCTCCATACTAACAAGAGAAGACCCTGCTCCTCTACGCTCTCGGGCCATCCGTCGTCTAGTTGGATATACAGCCCCTTGTTTTGTGTTTTTTTCCAGGGCATCCTGTGAAAAATTTAGAGAAACCCCAAAAAAAGATATAGAAGTTAAGGCCCATATCAAGATGGTGATGAGAAGTTGAGTTATATCAAGATGGTGATACATTGGTACATATTTCACCTTCTGTCAAAGTTTCTCTACATCCAAGGGCCTCCGTAGAAAACTACATCCGTCCCAGGATCCCAGGTACCTCCAGTTTGATCCAACAGACCTATGGGAAATCCCTGAACTAAATGGAACTGTTTGTTGCTGGGAACATCTTCCATAGCTATGTTAGGAGATCGGAGATTTCAATTTTTCATAAGTTTTCAGCTCTTTAGCTTTGTTTCCTTCCATAAGCCATAGCTATCTTAGTTTAGGAAGTTTAGTTTAGATGGTATTTCAATGTAGTACTCAACTTTTAGCTATTTAGCTGATGCTGGTGATGAGGATCCTTGTCTTGAACCAACACAGCCTCGTTACATATCCCTTACAATGTGGGGCCCCCGTTCGATAGCATTCAGTTGGTGAACATAACTCCAATTTCACTATGGTTTATGGTACGCAAATAACTATAGTTAATGGGGTTTATAAACCAACTTAGAAATGTAGCTAAAGATTTCTTTCCCTGGTGACCCGAAAAAAACACAACCAACCATCGTTCACCACCATAGCAACCCCAACGGTCGATGCCGAAGAGTCGGACGTCGTTACAATGGGAGGATATATACATATATATATATAGGATTGTGAATAGTTATATTAATATAAAATTGGATGGTTTAAAATGGTTAATGTATGGTTAATATATGAATATATATATATATATAACCATTAAAAATGATACTGTATGTTTTAATTTTTTTTAATGGATATACTGGGATAGTTATAATGTTATATATATATATATACTGGTTCGTGGTTTCAAACATTTTTTATTTTCCCCAATAGTTGGGATGATGATCCAATCTGACTAATATTTTTCAGGTGGTTAAAACCACCAACCAGTATATATATATAATGGTATATTACCACAATGGAATAGTTAACTATAAAGGTTAAATGGTATACCCAATATACTGGGATAGTTAATGGTATATTAATTCTATAATGCCATAATGAATATAGTCAATATAGTTAACCCCACTATCTGGGTAAATTATCACGACCTCACTGTCCTCCCTCACTGGAATCATGTTTTAGATGTAGGGACATCATCCCCAAATGGCCTTAATTTGAGGTTATTGAAATATTATAATTTACCCATATATATATATTGCTAAACCAAATGATAAACCATCACTGCATGGTTCTACCAGAAACAGTTTTTTTTCGAAACATACGTGTTTTCTATCCCCAAGTTGAAGGTGAAAAATCTTGTGTTCACATTACTCCGCCGACCCATGGGATAAACTGCACAAGTGCACAGACCGAAATGGATTGATCGATCAAAACCAAAGCTGTTTGGTGGTTTCAACCATTTTTTATTTTCCATAATATATGGGATAATCCTTCCCATTGACGAACTCCATCATTTTTCAAGATGGTTAAAACCACCAACCAGAAAGGGTTGGCTGGTGAATTTTGACCACGTTTCCCCCAAAAAGGTTTTGATCCATCCCCAAGTAGCGAGACCTACAGGAGACCCGATCGGATCGCCCAGGAGTTTCCATAGATCAATATGATCTTGGATCAATACTATAATTCTGATTAATGTTATGATGAATATTATGATGAATATTATGATGAATACACCAATGCTCATCAATATTTTAGAAAAACACATCGTGATATTCTATACTATTCATCGTAATTCCCATAATATGACTTTTCGTAATTCCCCAAATCATCATAATACCCCATGAATACATCCATATCTTCTCCCATTTTTCCCTTTCCGATTGGCCGAAACTCCTTGAGGTTCATGGCCTGCGTCCATGGCAATGAAGAATGCGCGCTGCCCTGGCGGAGCGACGGGTTGTGTGTTTGGTGGATGAGATGCTGGGTTTCGAACGTGTTTTGGCCGCCAAGAATCCTTGAAAAACGGGAGATCATTGAGGTTTTTTTGAAATGGAGGGGTACCCCCAAATCACCTATTTAAAGATAGGATTTTCCCTGATCATCCCTTTAAATGGTATTTCCTTCAAAAAAAACATCCAGCTATGGGGGTACCTCCAGGCCATGAACTTGGATGTCCCAAAAGATACCGCCATTGTTGGTTAATGTGGATTCCCGTGCATTGAAAGCTGGTTGGTGGTTTGGAACATGTTTTATTTTTCCATTCAGTTGGGAATGTCATCATCCCAACTGACGAAGTCATATTTTTCAGAGGGGTAGGTCAACCACCAACCAGAAAGGTGAATGTTGGTTAATGTTGGTTGTGAATATTCCCTAATATAAAGTTTGGTTGAGAATGTCGTAAACAATCATGAACAACCTCGGAGTTTTGACTGAGTTCCTGTGTATGATATGTGAAGCAGTCAATCCGTTTTATATAAGTAGCTCGTTACATCCCAAATTTGGCTTGTGGTTTGAATCAGAGTATTCGACTCATAAAAAAATGCGTTCAAATGGCAATGTTGATAGAGAAAAAATGATAAACCATGATAAACCTGTGGATGTTGCGGCGTTTGCCCTAACATTTTCAGACAAACCCATAGACCCATTGTTGTGATCCATCATGAACGCACAAAAAAAAATGTGTGGATCAAGCCATTGATCAACCAGCCACTTGGTGCCTCAGTAATACCCTCTGGTAAACTAACAGTTTGCTAATGAAAATTGCCTAGTCGAAATCGTGGATTTTGCCAGCTAGAAAATGGTGGCTCTTTCCATAGTTGTTTCTATGTTTACCAGAGGGTATCCCATTGATATATACTATCCCTACATATCCCTACATGGGCTGGTTTTCCTATGTATCCCTATAGATATCCCCTTATATGTCTTAGTTTACCAGAGGGTAAGATACCCCCAAATAAATGGTTTCATAACATTCTGAAGAGGACAACGATCTACAAATGAAGGAAGGTTCACAGTGCTGAGCTGTCAATCTGCTGGGTAAATCGCTTTGTTTCCCAATGATATTCGAACTCATTGCTGGTTATACCAATGTTTCATGGTATTTTACCATATTTTACCCCTATATTTAAGGTTGGTATTTTACCCCTATGTTTCATGGTAGAAGCCCTAGATTTGATGGGTGTTTGATGGTCAAAGCCCCTCCAAATCGTTGGATGTTTGACCACCGTGGATCAAAGCGTTGGAACGCGATCCAGGTATCATCCACGGCAATGCCGCCGCATGTTTGCCGCAACTGCCCTACCAGGCGTTGGTTTTCGTGGTGGTTTGGAACCAGTAACAAATAGGGGGGTTAATTTGGATTTAATAGGGATTTAATAGGGATTTATATATAACTTACAGTAACCATTCTAAATGGTGTATCATAACTGGTTGGTGCTTTGGAACATGATTTTTATGACTTTCCATAATCTATGGGATAATCCTTCCCATTGACGAACTCATATTTTTCAGAGGGGTAGGTATACCACCAACCAGTTTTTACGACTTTCCATATGTTGGGAAGAATACTCCCAACTGACTTTCACTCATATTTTTCAGAGGGGTAGGGTTGAAACCACAACCAGCATCCTAAATGGTAGATGAAAATGATGCCAGATGCTGATAAATGGCTAAGAGTGACGAGTTTGAGTTAGCCACTGTTCATCATTTTCACATTTTTCGACCATTTTTTGTCGAAGATTTGATTCGATCAGAAACCACTAACAACTTGACTTGGGATCCTAGGAGCACGGACCTCTATAAATTGGACACGTGATCATTCAGGTCATGAAAATTGGTATGGTATATTGAAAAAAAACATAATAGATAACTGGTCAAAAAATGGCACACGATTGGCAATATAACATATCTATAAAAATCACTGGAACGCCCCAAGCTATACTCGAACTGATATCAGTTATGGTAATGGTACCCATGAAATAAGTTTTTTCCTGCGTGCGATGATTTATTTCCGATATTTCGTGTGTAGTTCCACCAAACACTACGGTTGCCGAAAAGTGACATACCCACACATTAGTGAAACATCTCCATTAACAAACCGTTGAATCACCATGTCCAATTAAAGCCCCCATTCCATTTCCATATTTTCAGGTTTCTCCTAACATCCCATGATGAAAAAACGCAGCAGCTATCAATACATATTCCAGTATGTCCTATCTATTATATTCCGATTATATGTCCATTAGAATTCCATTATTGATGACCAAAGTTACCAGTGGTGGTTTGTTTAGCACTTACATTCCCATTGCTAATCAATGGATAACTAATGGATATTTTTCATGGTGGAATAACCATAATAACCTATGGAGATTCCCCACCAAATTAACATAGACCCTGAAAATAAACAAAAAATAGTGGAAGCAAATCTTTCAGCGCCCCAACTCATGGCAGAGTTTGCGCTCATTATTGGAGGGTAATTCCATTGGCTCCTAAACACTATTGGATCATTAGGGTTTATCTAATGGTATCCCCATTAGCATCCCATTCAATCACCATTTCCAATAGCCATGTAACACCAATAATGGTTCCAAGTTTAGCTAACCACTATTTAATCACTGGTTGGTGGTTTCAAGCATGAATTTTATTTTCCCATTAATATCTATGGGATAATCCTTCCCAAATTGACTTTCATATTTTTCAAGATGGTTATTGCACCACCAACCAAATCACTAACACAACTATTGAACATGGTCATTTATAGTTGGTTTACCCATTAATAGCATGGTGATTTTCCAGTTCGCTATTTTAAAATTACCAGAGGCTATTCCAATGATATTCCCATCGTGGGAGGGTGCTCCAAGTCCCCAGCCCCCAACCGAAGCCTCAGGTCCTCAAGCGAACAATTTCCTCCCAAGGCTCCCCATCCCATCCCCACGTTCCGTGGCCCGGGGCCCCGCGTCCCCATAAATCTCAGGGTCTTGCGCAGTTTGGCGCCGACTTCTTGGGCAGTTTCCAGGCAGGAATGTGGACAAACGACACTGCGTTTGTTTCCGGTTGCTGAGTTTTCACAACTCGGAGATAGTGGGAAATATTTACATTTTTTTTACATATATATATATATACATATACATGCATATATATATATATACATGCATATATGTATATATATATATATACATACATATATATATATATACATTATATATATATATATTATACACACATATGCCATACCACTAGTATACTTTGCAATGCAGATACATCGTTTACTTTATCTTACACTATTTTACAGTGCGTGTGTGTGTACATATATATATACACATTATCACACATATATATTCACATGCTATATGGTTGCTGACAACAGGGATGTCAACATGTGTTTACTCTCCGTACCATATGATTGCTGTCCATAATTCTAGGGGGTTGGAGAAGCCAATACAAATACATGACATAATATTGCATTTAATTATATATATACATGATTATGTGAAGATATGTATGTATTGTATTTTATGGCGTTTGAGGACAATGAATATCAAATGGTATCAATTTACCAGCTGTTTTGGTGCTCACCAGGAGAACAAGGCTTGACCCATAGCCTTTTGCATATTGTATACATTACAAACATATAGGATATTCCGCACATGTGCATAGATAGATTAGATTGGATTGGATTAGATTAGATTGGATTGGATTAGATTAGATTGGATTGGATTAGATTAGATTGGATTAGATTAGATTGGATTAGATTGGATTGGATTAGATTGGATTGGATTAGATTAGATAGATAGATAGATAGACAGACACTTTTACATATATTGTGTAGATTTTCCTAGATTTCCATATGATGCCTGGGTGGTCTCACTTTTTCGCCGGTTGGATCGTGGGTGATCCCGTGAAAAAGCCATGAAGATGACAAGATTCGTCTCTGAAAATTGGGGATTTAACTCCAATAACTATGGTTTATGGTACTTATAACTATAGTTACTGGGGCTTATAAACCAACTTATAGCTGGGGGGCCTCACATTGTACTGATAGTGGGACTGGTTGTTGGTGACTGGAACCATGGAATTTTATGACTTTCCAGAAACAGTTGGGAATGTCATCATCCCAACTGACGAAGTCATATTTTTCAGAGGGGTAGGTCAACCACCAACCAGATAGCAATTTGATAGTGGGAAAAAGGGATTGTATGTTCAGTGCCAAGGGGCATTGTCGACTCTTGTCCAACGTGTTTGGCGTTGCTGCAGGCAATTCAGGAATAGGCTCACCCCGGTTGATTCATTATGGTTGTATCTCACGAAATACTGAGTTCAGCCTAGCAGCCAAAATGCTACTTCCCCGATAAAAAAAACCCAAAGGTTTATCCAGAGACAATGCTTGAATCTTAATTAAGGCAAACAAAAACCATGATTCTGTACCTTATTCACCCTATACAACATTATTAATCCATAGAAATCCATTGAAAAATAATCATCATGTCCATCAAACAAAAATAAGTGCTTTCTCGAAAATTAAGCCCGTGTTAAACGATGATTACCCTCTGGTAATTTAACATAGCGAACTGGAAAGATCCACCATGCTATTAATGGGTAAATCCACTTTTTCGACTGGGCCATTTTCAATAGCTTTTTGTATGTCTACCAGAGGGTATACCATGAAATATACCTGGTTGGTGGTTTCAACACCTCTGAAAAATATGAAAGTCAGTTGGGATGATTGTTCCCAACTGAATGGAAAGTCATAAGATGAGTGATTCTGGAGATGTTTAACCGCTTTTCCAAATTTCGCCGCTTCTTATCGGACGGTGAGGCCTTGGTTCTTCCATCGGAACGTCTTCGGGACAGCTGGGGAGCTGGCTGATGGTACAGCATGTGCTATGGCCCCAAAAAAAACATGAGATCCCATGAGTATCTGGTTGGTGGTTAAAGGATTATATGGGTTAAATATGGTTAAATGGCTTATAATGGATTATAATCGCACTAACTATAGCTGGTTGTTGGTTTGGAACATTGGTTTAATATGGGAGAATGATGGTTAATGATGGTTAATAATAGTGGTTTACAAACATTATATGGTTAATAGTGGTTAATAGTGGTTAATGAGATAGCTGGTTGGTGGTGACTGGAACCATGGAATTTTGAACGACTTTCCAGAAACAGTTGGGAACAATCATCCCAACTGACTTTCATATTTTTCAGAGGTGTTGAAACCACCAACCAGGTATATTTCATGGTATACCCTCTGGTAAACTAACATAGCTAATGAAAATTGCCATAGAAATAGATGATTTACCTATTGATAGCATGGTGATTTTCCATAGTTCTTGGTCAACGTTTACCAGAGGGTATCCTATATGTTATAATGGAGGATACAATTACTGGTAACTATATAAACTGCAACTGGGAATTTAGGGTAGATTGAATGGTATATATTCCACAGGATGGGGCCCCAGGTCGTTGGCTAAGTTGGTGTACAAGTACAAGTCCAATAACTAGCTTTATGGGGAATAAACCATCCTAGTTAACTAAAGTTATATATTAACTAGTATTAGTCCCCCAGTATTAACTAGTATTAGTCACCCATTTCTAACTAGTCCCCAGTACAACTAATATAATAGTCCACTATAGTTAAAGGGGATTATACATCAACTCAAAGCTGGGGGGGCTTCAACACCTGCATGGTGTTGTGACTATCCTTCAGTGAGAAAAACGAAAAATATCCCATGATGTTCAACAGTATCCCCACCATTATATTAGCTACACATCTGGAAAATCAACTATACTCTCTGGCAATAATTGGATGAATAATGGAATATCAATGTAATATGGTTGTAAGTGTCTTGTTTTTCCAAGTTATCTTTTACCTTTCTGAATGGTAAGGGGTTTTGCGCGAAAATGCTGATTCAAGTACATTTCACTGTTTCTTCACTCAAAGTTGGATCTTGTCCCATGTACCATCCACTTGAGAAATGATCAGACAGTCCTGGGCGGAGGTAAGATTCAAGGATGCCACTGGTTGTGATGCCAAAGCACAGTCCTAAATGTCATGCTTTAGAGATTTACAACATCACTTTTAGCCATACATGTTGGAGAATTAATAGAAATAGTGGGTTATGTGAAAAATTAGAACATTTACCAACCTGATTCTTGGGGGCAAATTATAGTGACCTCACTGTGACCTCAACCAAGGTGCATTTGGACACGAGGAGTGATCCGAAGAACCTCCTCTCCACGCCCTTCTACGTGGGCATGTTCTCGCATTTGGCCGCGGCCTTGATGGCACACACAATCACGATCACAGAGATGATCGAGGACACTACCCTGTACACGTTGATGGTCCCACTCTTGTACGTCGACAAGAGCAAGTTCGCTACCGCGAGGGAGAACCTGGTCAGGAAGAAGACGGAGGCCTTGGTCGAGAGACTGGCCCCAAAGGCGGCCGCAATCAACGTCATGATGAAAAGACTGGCCAACCCCATGAACAAGGACAGGATTATGTTGGCGTGCAATGAGACGACCGTGTTGAAGGCCGAGGACTCGTGTCGGACCATGCACGTGCTAAGGCTCGCTGCCCCGAGGTTGTACAAGATCCAAGACCAAATGAGGGGATCAAGCGCACCTCACTGTGACCTCACTGGAAACATGGTTAGTAAGGGGAATCGGACCCAAATGGTTTTATTTCAGGTTCGTGAAATATGTTAATTTGCCCAGAATACATGGGGGGTTCTTAAAATTAAGATCCCCAAGTCATTTTTTGGTTGGTCAGCAGCCTTGATTGGCGCTCACTTGCGACTATAATTGTTTGGTTGGTCAGCAGCCTTGATTGGCGCTCACTTGCGACTATAATTGTTTGGTTGGTCAGCAGCCTTGATTGGCGCTCACTTGCGAATATAATTCTTGGTTGGTCAGCAGCCTTGATTGGCGCTCACTTGCGACTATAATTTTTTGGTTGGTCAGCAGCCTTGATTGGCGCTCACTTGCGACTATAATTGTTTGGTTGGTCAGCAGCCTTGATTGGCGCTCACTTGCGACATAATTTTTGGTTGGTCAGCAGCTTTGATGGCGCTCACTTGCGACTATAATTTTTGGTGGTCAGCAGCCTGATTGGCGCTAACTTGCGAAAATTGTTTGGTTGGTCAGCAGCATTGATTGGCGCTCACTTGCGACTATAATTTTTGGTTGGTCAGCAGCCTTGATTGGCGCTCACTTGCGACTATATTTTTTGGTTGGTCAGCAGCCTTGATTGGCGCTCACTTGCGACTATAATTTTTGGTTGGTCAGCAGCCTTGATTGGCGCTCACTTGCGACTATAATTTTTTGGTTGGTCAGCAGCCTTGATTGGCGCTCACTTGCGACTATAATTTTTGGTTGGTCAGCAGCCTTGATTGGCGCTCACTTGCGACTATAATTGTTTGGTTG